TTCGAGCATCTGCTGCAGAATACGGTACTTCGTCCCAAGGTCAACCATGCAACCTCAGCTGCAAGATCCCCTGGGCATACATCCACTATTATTTGCGACATAATCTGCAGTAAATGAATAGAAGATAGTAATGTATTATCGCAAGCTCACAAACATCGAAGCGTTTGGACTGCGTACCCACCGCAAATCATTATGTAAATCAAGCTGGACTTGATCCCGCTATGTCGGTGTTTCTGTGTCGAATAGCTGTAACAGCTCGTCCACCTGCGGCTGTCGTTCCCCAATTGCTCGTCTTCGGCGATAGAAAATTGCCGGCAAGGACGGCTACCACTGACGAAACGAAGAGTTTTGTCGTATCTCATGAAATTGCCTCAATAAAACTTAAAACGAAAATCATCAGATTTTATGTGCAAATGGAGAAAGTATGATTGGATATCAGTGAGATGCAATGCTGACTTCAAATCGCTGCTTAAATAATTCACTGCAGCCCAGCAACTTTCAATAAATCAATAAATTAATCAATTAATCTATGAAAGAAGACCTTGAAGTCATCATTACTAAAACCTGAAACGTCTTGAGATCTCCTTTCACCCCGTGACAATGAAATTCCAGAAGTCATCGAGCGCAGTAGCCCTGGGGTAACCAGGTCGTCACGAGTACCTTAAAGCAATCATTACAACACCAGTAAATGTAAACACCAAATCCTCGATACTGTTACAACACGTGTAAATTGATTCCCCTCTGTATCAATTCAGCTGTCAGATCAAGAAAAAAATTCTCACAACAGCAGAAAATTGAGAAAATGACAAGAATTGCCAAGATTATTGACATTTCACTTCACTTGTGGATCCCTAGGTGATGAACAAAGATGAGAGATCATTGCAAACGATTCACAAGATGCTGATTAATGCTGCAATTGATCAATTAACAGAGAGCCTGAGATTTTCATTACTAGAACCCAGAATGACTTGACATCCCCTTTCACCCAGTGACTCAATGAAATTCCAGAAGTCGCGGAGTGAAATAGCTCTAGGGTAACCAGGCGGTCATCAGACCATAAAGCAAATAAACCGTCTGTCTCAATTCAGCCATGAGCCCAAAAAAAGTTGGAAATTCTCACAAACAGTAGAAATTTGAAGACTTTAGTCCAAAATTATTGACATTCTACCCCACTTGTGCATCTCTAGGTGACGAACAAGAACCAGGATGATGTTTAATATTGCAATTAATTAATAACCCGCACATCCTGACATCTTGACATTTTCATGATATGTCTTGTCATCCCCTTTCACCCAGTGACTCAATGAAATTCCAGAAATCCTCGAGTGCAGGAGTCTTGGGGTAACGAGGTCATCGTCAGTACCAAAAGCAGCCATTACAACACCAATAAATATAAATACCAATTCCTCGATACCGTTACAACACGTGTAGATTGATTCCCCTCAGTATTAATTCAGCCATCAGACCAAAGAGAAACAATCCCCCACAACAGTAGGAAATTGGAAGAATGTAAGCCAAGATTATCAGCATTCTACGCCACTTGTGCATCCCTAGGTGACAAACAAGGGCTAGAATGATGTTTAATACTGCAATTAATTAATAACCCGAACATCCTGACATCCAGAAATTTCCATGATACGTCTTGTCATCCCCTTTCACCCAGTGACTCAATGAAATTCCAGAAATCCTCGAGTGCAGGAGTCTTGGGGTAACGAGGTCATCGTCAGTACCAAAAGCAGCCATTACAACACCAATAAATATAAATACCAATTCCTCGATACCGTTACAACACGTGTAGATTGATTCCCCTCAGTATTAATTCAGCCATCAGACCAAAGAGAAACAATCCCCCACAACAGTAGGAAATTGGAAGAATGTAAGCCAAGATTATCAGCATTCTACGCCACTTGTGCATCCCTAGGTGACAAACAAGGGCTAGAATGATGTTTAATACTGCAATTAATTAATAACCCGAACATCCTGACATCCAGAAATTTCCATGATACGTCTTGTCATCCCCTTTCACCCAGTGACTCAATGAAATTCCAGAAATCCTCGAGTGCAGCAGTCTTGGGGTAACGAGGTCATCGTCAGTACCAAAAGCAACCATTACAACACCAATAAATATAAACACCAATTCCTCGATACCGTTACAACACGTGTAGATTGATTCCCCTCAGTATTAATTCAGCCATCAGACCAAAGAGAAAAAATCCCCCCACAACAGTAGGAAATTGGAAGAATGTAAGCCAAGATTATTGACATTCTACTCCACTTGTGCATTCCCAGGTGATGAACAAGGATAAGAGAGTATTGCAAACGATTAGCAGGATGCTGTTAATAAGAAGAGCAGAGGCATCCCGCTACTGGAACAGTTATGATGAATCGCAGTTCTTTCACCCTTGACGAGCCCGAGCGACACTAAATCAGCGAGGAAGTTGTCATTAAGTGAATGATGGGGGAGAGGATTGCTTCGAAGGGTGGAGTCGAACGGAAACAAAACGCCTGGTATTTACGATTGTGCTAAACTCTCGAATGCAAGTAATGAGGTTGTAGCAAAAAGATTGGCACGTGAACGTGCTACAAGGGTTTTAACAAAAAATCCAAGTGTTTTGTCTCACAACTTGGACAATTACGTGATTAGGCGCATCCACGCTTATATTTTTTGTTTACTCTTTTCCATGGGCACTTCACGTTGTAATGCCACAATGCTCTTTCCATGTTCAAACATCATTTCTTGCAGCGTCAGGTGTTATTCAACATTCCACTTGAATACGTGGATACAGATTTAGTTTGTGGATAATAATTGCAGAGTTGAGAGTATGAAAACGAGAAGCTGTCCCGTTAATCCAAATCCGCATACCAGGTGCATCGGCTTTTTAATGATCAGGTATACGGGATCGTAATGTTTGTTGAGTTTGTGATGGGGATATTCAAATAAATTGAGTGCATGAGGCTTGAAGAGGCTGGATCCCTGGATCCACTGGGGGCCCGATCATAAATGGAGTAATTTTAGTATTTCATCGGAAGAGTAATCGAGAACGAGCAATCCTTTGCGTGTGCCTACTATTCCAGACTGATTGCACTGTTAGAAAATTAATCTTCAAATTTGAGGGAATGAATGTAAAAATTACAACAATTGTCGACGTTTTTCATTTTTCCAAATTTAGTCTTTAAGCAATAATTTCCCCAATTTTATTTTATTTTATTCTCTTTGTGTAAACGGAGAAAAATTACCAAACTCATGTCATTATTCATGTGATCGTGGAGTGGAATCCTCTTTTAGGTCTTAATCGCCCTATCTCGAGCAAAAAAGGCGCGACAATAGTGAATTTTCCCCAGCTGACTCGAAAAAATTTACTGAACGTGAGGATAATTTCTATCGAAACCGTCAAATTTTCTGTTTATGCAAATAAAAATTATCCCATGAACATAAATCATTACCCAATATTGCGTCATCATTCACATATGTGAATATGAGAAACTTTTCTGTAACGGATAATGATTTTTTTTAGCAAAAGCCCTGCGAAAAATTTTACTGTACAGAAAACAGCAATTTTTGCATTCATAGATGAGTGTTTTCCGAACGAATCTGAAGATATCCTCCGCAAAAAGTATTTTTTATTCAATTACAATTTCGTTTCGCAATTGCCGTCGCATTCGCATCTAGTAAAATTATCCTCAATTTTCTAAACAATTTTTATCCAACTTTTGCCTCTATCTATGAAATTGTGAGATGCCTAAATGCCCCGAATTCCCCAACAACTCACGATGAGATGAGCATTTTTACAGGTCGTCACCCTCCGAAGACTCCAGCAAGGTCAATTTTCCACGAACAATTGTTCTTTTTCTCTTATATCTCCCATGCCATTCATTCCCATTTGTTCCAGCCTCGAGGGTTCGAAAATATTCGAGAAGAGTCCCAAGAAAGTTGGCAACACGTCCCGAATGCCACTCGCGTGGCATTGTTGTTTACACGCGATGATGGAAAAGAAAGTAAAGCGAAAAGATACGATGGCTTTTCCTCCATACACGAGAATCTTCTTCTCGGTTCACCTGACCTTGAGGGCAATTTTCCTCATTTTAAAAAAATGGTAAGACCCAGTTTACCATCGCGGGAGGGAAAACAATGGAGCAATGTGGGACATCACTGGTGGCAGTGACAGTTCAATCATCTAGTCGCTTTGCTTCACCTGTCGAATCAACGATTTGCCTGCTCTTTCTCCTCATTATTTTATTACTTTATTCTAAATTCCCTTAAGGCGGATGTACGTGGAAATAACGAGGTAGCTAGACTGCAATTTGTTCACCATCGTCATCATTAAACCCAAATTAAGGCGACAGCCGAGTTAACGGTGAGCCTCACTGCCACAGAGATTTAAATTGTTATTTATTTTTTTCTAGGCTCGTGGCATTCAGGTGAGTTTATTTAATGCCATGAGCATGTGGGGTTCTGCTGTCCACGGGGCATTCATACACCCCGAATTATCCTCAGAAAATATGTAGTCCGTGAAAAATGTTGAACCAATAAAGAAAAAAGTGAGGCAGTGTATCACAAGTTGACTTCAATCCCTTTTAAAATGAATTTATGACTCGATTGATCAATGATCCAAGACCCAACGGCATTTTTTGCAGCCACGTGCCACCCATAACATCATTTGTACACATTTGCTCAGACTCATTGAATTTCCGAGTGATTACTCTCATCACATCTGCAAGTGAAGCAAGCAGTGATCGCTGACGAGTTGAATGAAGGGAAAAATGAGTGACGATGAAAAATTAAAAGCCGTTGGGAAAATCAATTTGAAAAAGAAGAATGTTCTAAGTGGCACCTCGGGGTCCCAGTGTTCGGTGAGAGGATTGGTCAGTTCCATTGAAAACAGTGCCAAAGCAATTCAATCATTGGCCGTACGGTTTATCCCCACGCGGTGGGAGTCGTGCAGGCTATATAGAAGACCCCTCACGGAATAACATCTTCAGAGCTGAGAGTCAGTGTCACGGAAATCTACCTGCACTTAACAATGTGAGTACGAAAGTTGTTACTGAGGTTTACACATTATTTTTCCGGTTTATCACGTCTGCCACTGATTATATCAATTAAATTTTCACTGAATAAATTATTTAACATGAAGAAATTATGATTAATTTCACCAAAAAATTGTTCAATCAATTTATTTTTCTAATAATTTCGAAGAAAGTGCGGACTTTGTGGAGAGCATGGAGACATCAATGACGGAATAAGCAATCTCCCTTTAATTAATTTAAGAATTATTTTCCTCTTTTATTCGAGTTCACCCATTTTCTTTGAAAACTAAACTGGAATTTTTCCGGATAATCCTATCGTTAGGATCTTGGAGGGTTCAGGTAGTCTTTCTCTCTCGAAAAAAGTGTCTCCCTAAAACCTGCAAAACAGGTAGTCGGACTTTGCTCAAGTGTTAGTATACAGTTAGAAACTCGTTCGCGTATTTTTTTTTCTTCCATTGAGGAAGGTACCGTTTTTGAAAGTTCATACTACTCAACGACTTCCTCCCGCTTACCAAGAATAACCATCAAGTTCTTTTTATTTTTTCATTCGTAAAATAAACGACTGCAATGACGAAGAAAATCGGGTGGCAAAAAAAAAATCTAAAAAGCTGCAGTAGGTCGTGACCCCCTTTTTGAGTAACGGTAAGATTCGAGTTCAATGTACCCTCGATACGGAAGTGGGCTAACAAGACGATCAGTGATGGACTTACCGACATTGTGGCCTTAACCACAGTGACCCACTTTCATGGTCAAGGTTTTACGGCACGAGTGAACGAGCCCGTGTGCTTTAGGTGGGATTCAACCGATCGTATCGAGTCAGTCAATAAAATATCTCAGGAATTTTTCCTCAATACCCAACTGATCATGACCACTGAAAGGAGTTCTCTGACCTAAATTCTTCTATGACAAACAAAAAATTATATCCCCCCGATAGGAGTCTAAAAAATCTCGAAAGACCCACAGACAACTTTTTTTTTAGAAAGAGAGAGAGAGAAGGAAGAAAGGATAAAGTATCAACGGTTAGAAGTAGTTAGTGAATCAGGTCATTTTCACTCATCCCGACTTTTTTGTTTTCACGTACATGAGTAATCAACGTGACTGACGTCAACAGTGAGAGAGGATCAAAAGAAAGAGGAGAAAGTGGATGACGAAACTCATATCCATGAATTAATTTAACCCACTCTCTTGCAGAATGGAGTACAAAAAATTCGTAGCCCTGTGCCTAGTAGCACTTACACTCGGGGAGGCTGCAACCCTGCCTCAGCACCCGGTGTACAAGCCCGAGGAGCACTCACCCGAGTTGAGGGAGGAGAGGAAATTCGTGGAGAAGCCCAATGCCATTAAGAAAGCTGGGCTCGATGATATCGACGACGTTGGATCCAATTCGATTCAGGTACATTTTTTTTTAATTTTCGTTCAAATTTCCGATGCAGTTGATGAAAATTTTTATCCCATTCTAGTTCCAACGAAATTCCAAGGAATTTCGGCATTGAAAATTCAAAAGTTAATGGGGAAATCAATGAGAATTTGAATTTTCAGTTCAATGATTCATTTCATAAAAAATCCCATTTTTTTTTTCTAACAATGTACACGAAGAAAAAAAATTGCGTAAAAATTACTGAACAAGCAACACGACTAGTGAATTTTTCTGCATTGACTTGGGAAAATTTACTTAACGTGAGGGTAATTTGTGCCGAAACGGTAAAATTTATCCTGCGTTCCATCGAAAATTACCCCAGTGAACGTGAACGATTTCTCAAACTTGTGTATATTTTTTTTTGCAACTGAGAATGATTTTTTACCGCACGCGTTCGTTAACATTTCACTTCCATTCCCTATGTAATTTTTATCCAGCTTTTATCCCCGTGAAAGGACGAGTCATCAATTAGAAGCCGAAATTACCGAAGGATTTGATTTAGAGGGATCTAGGAGTGCACAAACATTTTTTAAAATTAATTAGAATTAATTTTCATTAATTCGATTAATTTTTCAAAAAATGCTATCATTATTATTTGACCCTTGAACCCTCAAAAACCCCCTAAACTGAATTTTCCGCCGACGAATATTCCGTCAGTTTCACCTTCATCTCATCAATTAGCTTCTACCCCTGAATTTCTCTCGTTGCAACGGACGATTAATTGTTCTAGGAGGGCGGAGCAACCGGTTTCTCATGGTCCAGCATGCTGGGCATGCTCATGCAGATGCTTCTAGGTCAAACTGGTGCCATAACTGGCCCTAGCAAGAATGACATCGACGACGGAGTCGCAGCTAGTCCCTGGTCTAATCTTTTGACCGTCGGCCTTCGCGTTATCACAGCTATTCTTGGGGGTGCACAACAGCCTGTCGACGGCGGACTCGACAAAGTCGACAACCAGAGCGGTACTATGCAAGTAAGAGAATCTCCTCTACACGAGGTTTTTCATTAGAACTTGTGAAAGCCTGTCTCCTGCTCATTAAAAATGGTAAAATATTGTGTTCAATGCACGAAAGATTGCAAGAAAAATGCGGCGGACTCGCACTGCGAAGGGGGAAATTAATCCCTCGCTCTACATTTTGTCGTTAATTTCACACAGGAATTCCTAAAAACAATTTTTCTTGTGATTTTCTCTCTCCGTGTAGTATTTAGAACTCCTTTTCTCACTTTTAGTTTTTTCATTTTGCTTTAATTTTATGTAAATAGTATTTTGCACAGTGACAAGACGAGACTACTTTCACACGATCGCTTCCTCCTATCAGAGACGATTCATTTTCAAAATGTATTTTTAATTTTTTTTATTATGATGACTGTCACGCTGACCCGTCGCAACTTTCCCCACACGACTCGCCTCATACCCTTGTAAATTATCTCCTCCAGCAAGCTAGAAAGATGTCTATCACTCAAAAATTAACCATCAATTGTTATAGAATGAAGATGAATTCGTAAAATGGGAAATTCGTATGGGTAGACTCGGAGTTGCGTCGGGTTGAGTGATGATAAATGACTTTTGTAAATATATTGAATGTGAAAGACTCCCCGGTGGTCGGTTGTTTAGGGAATATTGACTGCGGTGCTGGGGGCATTGCTAGGACAGGGGAGAAATCCCGAAGGTGTCGCGACAATGGCTAAACAGACATCTGAGGTTAGTGATCATCCAGTATCCCTCGCACTGCGCTTGCAGAACTGATTTTTCAACAATTTAAATGTTTCTGTAAAAAGTTGACTTTTTAGCCTATCAGTTCTAATGTTCATTGGTTGATGAAGCTGAAGCTGCACTGAGGAAAAAAATGATTCTCTAAGAGTAAAAAGAATATTGCCACAAATCCTCTTATGAATATTGAGGCAAAAAGAGGATCATTCTTGTTAGAAAAATGGATACACTGAGAAAAAAATTCTAATATCACATTTACTTGAGACAAGTAATTTTTCTTGAATCGCTTAAGGATATCCAACTACTTTGGAGCTGAACATTAAAGCTTTCATTTGAGTCCCATTTGACTCTAACTTTTCGGACATTTTACAATGATTTTATTATTTAAACTTTGCAGGTCTGAATTTGAATCTTGATGGTAAACGGTTAGAAAACATTGTAAAAATCTAAAGAAAAAATTTGAAAGTTTACATTTGGAGAAAGATTGATGAAATAATTAAAAAATTGTAATTTTCGAAAATTACCAGCATTTTCTATAAATAATTTATAAACAATCAATTTGCCACCATAAAAATGATTCATTAGAAATTGTAGCAAATTTATTCATATTTAGAATTTTACCAGAAACCGATGCCACGCATGAAAAAATAAGGTTTCCGAAAGTTTAATCAACTTTAATCATTTATCTATCAACACCGAATGTTCAAAAAATTACTTATTCCGTGCAAAATATAATTTGAATTTTGAATCCAAACTGTAAAGAATAGTTGGATATCCTTGAGAGCTCAAGGGTCAAACAATGTTACGAGCAAATGTCATTTTTTCAAGTGCAAAGAAATTTGCACATTGACTGAAAGTATCTGAACACCTTAGATTCACCTGACCTGAATCTCTCGCTAACTTCAGCTTCATCATTATTTGCTAGTGTGTAAGCCCTTCTAGTGAATGTTATTTTCAACTTTTATTTATCCCTGGAGCAGTTCATCAACATCGTCATGAACCTGTTGGACGCCCTGAAGACCTCATTCTCACATCGTTCGTTGAACGCAAGGTCTCTGGGGAGACGCGATTCTGTGTCTGAGGCTGCTGTTGCTTCCATCTCCATGCTCAAGGTAACGACTTAATTTTCATTTTATTTTCCATAGAATAAGTGGGAAAAACGATATGAGTTAATTAGTTTTCAGTTTTTGCCGATGTATATTGACCCCGGATTCCTACATGTCAATGAAAAAATCCATCACAAGTCACCAATTGCAAATAATGAATGAGAAAATTGAATTTTCAGGCATATATGCGAACGATGAAAGCCTACAGCAACTCTGGAAAGAGCGAGGATGAAGAGCAACGTGGATGCCCAGAGCGCATCATGTGCGAGGCCAGTGCCGACTGTGCTGCTGACAGCCCGAAACAATCACCAGTCTTCTGTCAATTAGGATCGTAAGTCCACAGAAACATTCCTAAATTACACTAGTAAAATATAAAAACGAGAAAGAGGAAAATAGATCTCATCAAATCGTTGATATTTCCTGACTAAACGGTACGATGCGGATGAATCAGGTCTCATTTTGAAGATTACAAAAATACCTTGCAAACGACAACAAAAATGTGAAATTTCACTTTGCCATTCCCAAGTTATCGAGGATTAAAGACAGATCTTTTCACCCCACTCAACCCTGACACAATTTTACTCCTTCAGATGTGAGTTTTTCTTGAATATCTCAGAATTGAAAGGAAATAGCGGAATTTACATAGGGACATTTTTTGTGGCTCTCATATCGCTCTACAAAAAAGGTCGAGATAAGAATCTCGCTATTTCCCTTCTATTCAAAGATATTCACCAAACACTGAACGTGAATTTCAATTAAAATGTCTAGTTTCCAAAATTCGTTGATTCCTTTGGACTACGTGCGCTCAATTAATCCACCTGCTTCCTAAATTTCAGATACCTAGCCAGCTGGTACCTCCAAGGACAAGATGGAGCCCACTTCGAGGCCCTGTATGACGCCGCACGTCGTGGACGTACTGGTGAAAACTGCAGAACGATTTTCGTGGATTGCAATGCAGTTTGAGCATCACCACAAGCCCATTCCTTCATTAGTTCACGAGAAAAATTTAAATGAATCCCATCCACGATGCAGAAAAACATTTATTCGAATTTAATCATTGGATAGAGGAAAATTGTGATTAGAATCATCGATCAACCGCTTAACGAAGTTCAAATTTATTCATCAAGATGAAAAATTCAATGATATCACATGGACGTAGACTGAGAATCTCTCGAGGCCTGGTTGAATTCAGTACAACTGTAATATCGAGTTCAACTGAGCCTCGACCAATCGATAAGCTATTCGATATTTATTTATATTTATTAATGTGAAACGATTGCGCGTGTGTGTGAGGCAGAATTAAAACGAGACCTTTTACAACTCCATTTAAACATCTGAAGCATTAATTCTGTCTCGTTGACACCGATTCGCATGGTATTACTTAATCTGTAGCTAGTGTTTTGTACGAACTCGAGAGGTAATTTTTATGGGAGGAAGACGAGCTTAGAGCTGATGGCTTCGACGTGGATCGGTGAAGAGAGAATTGTTACCCTCGAGTGTCACAAATACATGAAATCAGTGAATCAATCGATTCATCAATCACTTGATGACATTCTGGGGGTTTGTCGTGCCCTCCCACTAATTTATTTCATACGTTAGACATCTCAGGACGTTTTCGTTTCACCCACACTAAATTTAATAACTTCTGTATATATTTATGCCACAGTATCACAAATTTCTTTGTTAGGACACACGTGAATACTTTAGGAGTTAAGTTGTATGTTCGTGTAGTATGACTGTACCCATTTGTTTTAATAAATAATTGAATAAATAGTGTTGCTGATGGATATATGATTCTTTCATCCCAAGGACAAAACCCTCATTATCATAATTACTAGAGAAAGCTAGTTGAACTCTAGAGGTGATTTTCGTGGGAGGAAGACGAGCTTGGAGCTGATGGCTCGATGTGGCTCGGTGAAGAGAGAATTGGTACCCTTGAGGGTAAAAAATTCATGAATTTAGTGAATCGATCGATTTTCCAAAACCATAAAAACGAGAATTCCCCAACTTATTTGAATTTCCAATAAAAACCTCATTTTAATTTATTCAAAACTCACGAATATATTCAACTGAAATTTCCTGACTTCTATCAATTTTCATAGAATAATTGAATGGAAATTTACCATTTCCACTCATTTTTCCATGAAATTTTTAATTTTCAATGAAAAAATTCCCCGAAATTTCAGCTTAAAATTTCCAAACAGTACATGGACAAGACCCTAATTACTAAAATTACTCGCGGAAGCTAATTGAAATACGTAAGAAGGGTAATAACCCTCGAATTCCTGGTCCACGTGACAATCGTCCCCTCTTCCGCACATATTACGTACCACATATTTAGTAGAACACAAAGGACATGTACTCACTTTACTGGAGCAAGTGTCTGTGGAAATTCACGGCCCTTGACTCTCCAACAAGCCATGAATAACTGCCCCTGGGTGTGAAGAAACACTGAGACATTGTCTTTTTCAATGACGAAACTGGCAGTTTACTCCAGGTCGTCTCTCGGGAAAGTTCGTCCTCGTGTTTGGGAGAAATTACGAAATACTCGGACTTTCCGCGTTTCACTTTGTTAATTTTCCTGGTGGGTGAGTCCTTCAGGAAAAGTCAAGGCGTAACTTCAGGAAATACTGAGGTTGGTTGTATTCATATAATTTGTGGGCACTTACGACTGATTGGATGACGTTTTTGGGGGGGTCTAGATGACGTTCAAGGCGTTGCTGAACTGGGGAGGATTCGGAAATTTTGGAAAACCTCAGCAGACACCCATTGAGCGGTGGCATGGCTATGTGGGACGTGGGGGCCATGGGGGGCCCTGGGATCACAAGTCTCATGGTCATGGGTGAGTTGATCCATCACTGAGATTTATTTTTCAATTTTATTTGCAATATTTTAATTCATTAAATCGTCCGGTAATTCACTGATTATTTTGCTCTTCAAATTTATCTGCATTTCGTTTTATTATTTCCTCGTTATTTCATTCAGCTTTTCATTATCATTATATTTAGCTTTTTCCAATTAATTAAATCGCGAGGTAATTCATTGATTATTTCGTTCTCCAACTTTTATTTCCATTTCATTTTGTCATTTCATTATTAATTTATTTAACTTTTTAGTATTATTTTACGTAGATTTTTGCAATTAATGAATTCCGTAATTAATCACAAGTCCCGCGGTCAAGGGTGAGTTGATTCATCAAAAAAATTAATAGTTCAATTTTATTCGCAATTTTTCACTTCATTAAATTATTTCATTCACCTTTTCATTATTATTTTATTCAACTTGTTTCAATCAATTGACTCAGTAATTAATCACAAGTCTCACAGTCAAGGGGTGATTTGATCCATTAAATTGTCAAGTAAACCACGTTTTTTAATTCACCTTTCGATTATTATTTCTAATTTTGTCCAATTAATCAAATCACTAATTGATCAATCAATTACCTTCTCCAGGCATTACAAAAAAGGTGGCGGCAAAGGGGGAGGTAACGGTGCAGCGATAAGTGCCCTGACTCTTCTGGCGTTCCTGTTCCTTCTCAATGTCATGCAGGTAGACAATCAAGTCCGTCTATTGTCACTCGTCCGATCACTCACGCTCAAAAAACGGTCTAAACACTCGCGAAACACTTTCGAACATTAATTTCAACGGTTAATCACTTCATCACGAGTTTATGCACCCGATTCACTCGTCGTAACCGGGGACAACACGCGGGGGAACCGAACAGGTCCGAACTTGTGCCGGCGGACACGACAGGACACGATACCACGTCAAGATGGCGGCGCCTCACTGCGCTTCTGCGCATTTCTCCGCGCAGATTCTCGCGACAAAGGGGGATATCACTGTAAATTCGTGGATATTTTTCTCTGTGGACTGCCACACGTGCACTCACCACCGCGAATATGCATTTCATACCCGAAAAATTAATTCTGTTACTCATTCATCACGATTAATCACTGTTTTATGTGTTTGTACAATCGACACGACGCGAGAGAGCGAGTGGGGGGAACTGACTGGACTGCCCCGTGCGCCTGCGCGGGGCAGCTCGTCAAAATGGCGGAGGCCAGTGTGTACCGGCGGGATCGCGGGCTGATAAATGTGTTGAAACTTTTATTCCGGGGACTAAATCGTGAGAATAATCGCGGCATTGATCATTACTCATTGATTGACACTCGAGGATAATGATAATCAGAACAATTAAGGCATAAATCATGGTTAATTAATTGTTCGATGCCAATGACTATTTTGTTTGCATTGAAAATATCGAGAACAAAGGAAGAAAATCCTGCGCGGACACCGGTGCGCGTGAGTGTTTTTTATCAAGATGGCGGAGTCAGTGTTTTTTGGCGGGACGTGGGGGAGGGAATGTGCGGTTAATAAAAATAGACTGACACTCATTTCGGATGTATAGTAATTAAAATAATCGTGGCAGTGATCGTTATTAATTAATTGTTCGGTAATAGTGAGAATATTTGCGTTAATAACGTCATGAAAAAATATCGGGGGAGAATTGTGCGCAGACGCAGGTGCGCGTGAGGTGCTTTTGTCGAGATGTAGTCCTCCCCCCTCGATATTGGCGGGATGTCGTCCATTGTCTCGTGAAACCGCGGGAGATGAACATTGCAGTCGCGATTTTTTTCGTTTGTCGGTCACTCAGGCAACTCCGAAGCCCCCGAGAGTGATTTATACGTGAATGTGCACGGGACAATGACAAGAATGTTTAATAAGTACGTGGTGATATTGCAGCAATCTCTCAATGATAATAATATCACTACAACGACTACAGCGAGCACGATTTTCTTACGTGACGAAGGCAGTGAACTGACTGCCAGAGATCGAGGGGTAACGCTGAATTACGAGAGTTTGAAGAAAGCGAGGGATTCGGAGGACGAGGGTGATCAGCGTGATGACGAGTTCGAGAAGGGCGACACACTGGGTTTCGACCCTAATGATCCATATCCTTGAGAATAATCCTCATCCTGAGGTGTCCCTGATCCCCACGTAATTACCCAATCAAACTAATTATTTATTCATTTATTTATTTTGTGAGATGAGGAGAACAAGTGAGAGAACATTAATTTGAGAAGGGAGATTTTTTTTTCTATTGTTCTTGGGGGGAAAAAATAATTATGAACACTATCTCAACATCATCTCAAAGGAGATAAAAAAGTTTCTTCACGTTTTTATGTAAAAAATTATTTCACAGACATTTTATTTTTGTTTTTGTTTCAAACTTGAAGAATCTTCCCAAAATTCTCCTCACCTCATGACAAATTTATTCTCCCACTCAACAATTCCATTATTCTTTATTTTTACTCCTGCAATCATTCTACTGAATGCTCAGGCAACAAAGGAAAAAAAAATAAAAATAAAAAAAAATCTTGAATGGGATAAAAAATGTTTTTAGAAAATTTTTATTTTGTTTTTTTTTGTCTCAAAGATGACGAACCGATCAAAAATTCTCTTCACCTCTTGCCTTGTTTCTTTCAATTCCTCAGGGAATGAAGGAAAAAATAATGACAAAAAAAATACAAAAAAGGTCTTTAATGAAATAAAAAAATGTCTCCATATTATTATGTATTTAAAAAAAAAAATTTAAAAGGGTGAATGTGAGTATTTTTGTCCTTTTTTCGTAGCTCAGTAATTGGAGGCAGCAGAGCAGATTTGAAGAGTACGAGGACGGTCAGCGGTTGGATCCATATTCCTGATAATCCTGATCCCGTGGTGTCCCAGATCCCCACGTAATTACCCCATTAATTCACCAATTCATTCATTAATTTCACGCAATGGGGAGAACTAATGATATGATCAAGTCAACTTCAAAACACATAAACATTTTATTTTGTTTTTTTTTTCGTCTCTCGAATGTGATGTTCTAATCGAATCAAAATTCTCATCACCACACGACAAATTTATTCTCTCACCAATCATGTCTACTTTTCTTTGTTCTTGTTTCAGTATTCATTCTTTCTCTTCATTCTCATCAGTTGGTTTTAACAAACCGAGTCTTATTTACATAACATTAGAAACATTTAAATATTTTTCATCCGTTTTTCATAGTCTTAATTCATGAAAATAAACGGTAAACGTTCACGTACTGGTGGGAGGACAGTCTCTCGTGAACGTTTGAGTGAGCTCCGTCCATTTAACCATTTTCATTCATATTTTCAATTGATAATTATTCATTATTGCGGGGAGAGCTCACACGAACGAGTCAGAAAGACTCGGTCTCAGCGAGACTATTCTCGCCTTATTCTTTTAATTCCTGAGGGACTGAGGGCAACAAATGATAACAAAAAAATACAAAAAATATCAAATGGGATAAAAAAGTGGCTTCACGTATTTTCCATACAAAATAACGTTCAACAAGGGTTAGAGTCAGGGTTTTTCATCATTCTCGCGTTCACAATTTTACAGTATTCATTTCCTTTTAAGAATTATTTCATAACGAGGCGCATTCGACGGCCTGAGGCATTGGTATTCATATAATATATCGGTATATTCTTTAAAATTTTATATATAATAGTTTTTTTTTGAATCTTTCACTTTCTTGTCTAGACACCAAAATTCTAAAAAAAGGGTAAATCAATGGAACAGGCTCTCTTCAATTTATTACTTATCCACTATTGTGGAGCTAACTAGGACGTCTTCCGCGTCTCAACTGGGTTTTTACCATTCTTCAGACCCGACGTTTACACTCTTTTATTTTCATTTCCTTGGCTCGTTACAACGAACAGACGGGGGATAAGTCGCTCGCAGACGACAGGTACAATTTTAAAATGTTCAACAAGGTTGATACTTGGTGTATATCGTAGCATCGTGTTTGAGGAACCACAGGCAGGAGAGGAGACGTTTATTCCGTGGGAACATATCCCATCTGTCAACAGAATTTTCATCTTCATGTTGACACGACGGATTTGTCAGCTTGGGTTTCTGAAGGAGAATAATATGAGGAGCTAACTTTGCGGTTTGTGAGCATGATTTTCTGCAGAATAGAATTTTTTCCTCACTGTTATTCCCAGAAAATTGATAAAAATTGTTGAAATATCAACTAATTTGAAGTTTAGCTTCATTTTGTGCTAAATATTTTTCTTTTTATGGAAAGTTCAAGTAGTTTGATTAATTTTCGGCTTCTTATTGCTAAAAAATAAGGAATTTCATGGAATTTCAAGTGAAATTTGAAAATTACTAGTCAACTGTCCAAAAAGTTCTATTTTTTTCAAGCAGGACATGTAAAAAACTAAAACATAACGTTAGAGAATTTTTCTTCTATGAAATACGACGTTTAATTCGTGGGAAATAATACGAATATGATTACTACATCTCCTCATTCCATTTCCCTCACAGAATTCTCCTCTCATTATAATTTCAATGTGAACGGGGGAAAATACTCTTTAATTCTAAAAATGCGCAAATTCCTTCATGCAGTCACACACTCGAAAAATGTGTCTTTTAACCGTATGATTGAACACAATATAGTCTCGTGTAATAGAAAATACGTCTAAGAGGTAACGAGGGATGGACTAGGATTTTCCACGTTTGTTTTTCATCAATATCGAGGGAAAAATAATACAGAAATTTTCTTGAGCAGAGAGAGAGGTTTACGAGTAATCGTAGTAATGATTGAAGTACCGAGAGGATGTAGAGAACTCTTACCAGAATATTTCAGTTTATTTCACCATTAATTTGATTTTTCCTTCTATGATTCATCTCGGTGCACCCTATCGCGTTTCATCGCAATCTTGAACACCAACTGTTATTATTAATTCACTTTATAAATTCAATAATATCTTTCTTCCGAGAAACATTCCATTTGGACCTGCTAAAGGCTCGACGCAATACGCGTGATTAGATTAATCTTAATTTCGAAGTGATGGTCTTGGTTTTTCTTCACGATGAATAACAATTTTAGACCAGCTAGTTGAATGATGAATTAAAATCCACTCATTAATTAAAACAAGTGCAATCGATCTTTAGACCGGATATCCTCATTCTTTCCTCTTTATTTCTGTTTTTCATCCCCGAAAAAACGTCGAATAATCGATTGAATGTGTTCAGTGCTCTACAGTCAAACCGAGAAAAGAAGTCCTCCTTACAAAATCAGTCCAGTCCAGGCGAATTTCCAAGCAAAATGCATTGTCGATATCGATTTCCTCGTGACGTTGCCATTCATCGAGTTTAAATCGTTGCAATCAGACTCGTTGACCCAATTCACCAATCCAAACTTTTCATCCTTTAATTCATTTTTTCGTTCGCCACCCCCCACTGGCCAATGTGGGTCAAACTCGTTACACCGATGTTCACAATCTCCCCAACACGTGTCACACTTCTCCAGAATAAACAGGTCACCAAAAAAAAAGTCACAGTGTCACTGACAGCTACAGCAAACTCAAAAGTCCCCAGAGTTCAGATATTCAATTAAAAAACTATTGATTATGGTTGATGAGCCTCGTCAGTCTCCTCCTGGGACTATTCGTAGTCCTCAGACTATCCATAAAACCGAGAAAAGTAATCTCTTAAGAAATCAGTCCAGTCCAGACAAATTCTCAAGTAAACTGCATCGTCGATATCGATTCCAGTCTTGTTGGCTCAATTCCCCCATCCAAACTTTTCATCCTTTAATTCATTTTTTCGTTCGCCACCCCAATAGCCAATGTGGGTCAAATTCGTTACACCGATATTCACAATCTCCCCAGCACGTGTCACACTTCTCCCGAATAAACAGGTCACAAAAAAACATCACAGTGTCACTGACAGCTACAGCAAACTCAAAAATCCCCAGAGATCAGATATTCAATTAAAAAACTATTGATTATGGCTGATGAGCCTCGTCAGTCTCCTCCTGGGATATGATGCTCGATCTGTTAGAGCCAACATCTAGATCCATGGAGAATGGCTTGCCTGTACCAAGTAGTGCCTGCGTACCAGCCGCCTCCTCTATGCTCAAGCTGCACTCCAACGAGCTGTCACTGGAAGTAAAGAAAGAGACTTCTACCAATCATCAGAGTTATCGTGGTGTGCGCCTGAGGTGTCCCACCCGAATAAAAAACAACAGTATCGTACAAGTGTTGGTTTACCTGACGATGCTTGCACGATCACCAGAGTTGCTTGGAACATTACAATTCTCCCCATTACAATTGCGCTCGCCATTGCTGCTGCTGCAGGACGAAGTCCCAGTGACTGAGGGAGCCCCTGCATTTGATCCCGACGTTGGGTCCCTCGTGGAAGCTCTTCTGGACTCCTCGTGGCACTCACACCTGCACTCCTCAGGCTGCACGTAGCTGTAACCCTTGGCCTCGTCCTCTGCTCGTGGAATAGTTTGAATTCTCTTCGGTGCTTTTCGTCTTTCTGGGATCTCCTCGAAGTTTATCCAATTGCTGGGCCGGGGGGCAGCTCGTGGGGGCAGTGGAGGCGGTGGACTAGGTGTTTTTCCACTTCTCTTGGAATCAGGAGCCACTCGTCCAGCAAATTCACTGAACGTATTCGTCGCGTGTTTCCTCGGGCTTTTTAGCTTGAAACTGTCCTCACGTGGCAATGAAATCTTCATTCTATCCACTCGCTTCTCGTCGTGAGCTGTCTGCAGGACGAATTCGTCCAGGAGGGTCGGGTTTATTGGCGTCGTTGATCTTGGTCTCTCGATCGGTATCGTCTTCACTTCTTGGAGGCGTTGTTTCACTGGGAGCATTGGTACAGCAACACTTTTCTCCAGAGGGAGGGTCGTTGGCACGTAGGGCAGGTCCTCCTCGAAACTTTCTTCATTGAACAAACCTTTTCGCTCGTCTGGCAATTCCTCAACAGCTTTCGCAGCCTTGTTCCGGATGAAGTCGATCTCAGAGTCACGTTCGGATTCGGAACTGTTGTGGTCCAGGTCGGAAACGACGCTCGGGGTTTTCACGAGGGTTTCCTGGGGTTTTAGGACCTCTTCGGGGCGTGTGAGGTCCTCTTGCTTCTTCGCTTCTCTTGGGGGTTGGGCAGGTGGCGGGTGGTGGAGTCTCTCTGGCTTTTGGATTGCTGGAGGAGGTTCTTTGGCTTCTTTACTCTTTCTTTTTGGCTTTGGAATGTCTGGCTTTCGAGGCTCGATTGAGTCTCTCGAGGAGCTCGATGGGATTCTTTGATCGTCGGGGGCTTTAGATTCCTGGCTTGATGAAGGTCTCGAAGGGAGGTCGATGTGCTTCGCGGTTTGAATACTTGCTCTGGAATCTCTCGATGAGGTTTTCGATATTTCAGAATCTTTTGAGGCACTCTGGGGCAATGGGCTTTGCGAGTCTTCTCTCGGGACTGACGACTCGATCCTCGCTTCTGTTCGTATCCTCGTGACCGAGGCACGATGATGCTCAATTGATGCCTCGGTTATGATGCTACCGGTTCTGGGCTCATTGTCGTACTCGTCCAGGAGTTTTGTGGGGGTCTCCAAGGGGATTGAGACACTCTCGGAGGGCAGGGCCTCCTCGTAGTTCCTAGAGTCCGCGTGGAGGCTGATGAAGATCGAGTCCTCGTTTCTTCCTGGTCTGTCACCCTCGAAACGAAACTCCACGGGACCGATGCTGTCCAGGGACGTGTTGCCCGATGCTCCGTCGTGCTCTGGGGTCGCCAGGTCGTCTGTACTCTTCTTGCGCTCTCGTTTCTTGAACAGACTCAGTGTCGATGTGAACACATTCTTGTTTTTCGTGGAACCCTTGTCTATTGACACTCTTTCTCGGGACTTGGATCGACTTCGGAGGCTTTCGGTTGTGTCTCTTATTTTTGATGTTATACTGCGACGAGGTTTTGCACTCGGGGTGGGGGACTCGGGGCTCAGCACACTGCCGTCTGTTCTACTCTGTAAGGAAATTTATTTTTGGGGAATTATAGGCTTGGGGATTTTTATGAGAGGATTTCATTGGCGATTATTTGCGAATGGCTGAGCGAAATTTCACGATTTTTTGTTCATTTTCAAGGGATTTTTTGAAGCTTTGAAATGAGCTTTTATTTGTTTAAGGATGTCCAAGTTCTTTGGCTATTTTGATGATGCTGAATATTCATGATTCTTTTCAAATTTTTCTCACGCAGTATTAATCTCACGAATTATTTTATCAATCAATAATTTAGTTAGGAAGATTAACAATTATTCAATTCATCTTCAATCGGAAATTTAGATTATCAATTATTTTACTATTCTTAAATTTCGAAAAATTGGAATCTATCTTATTTTTTCGGAATTTTTAAGAATATTTGAAAATTTTTATTCCTCTTACTTTGAATAATGAAGCAAAACTACTCTTTCTTGATACTGATGATGGACTAGGTGTTCTCGAGCCCTCCAATTCCCTAACTTTCTGATGCCTCGGCAGTTTCGGACTACCGGATAAGCTCCCGATACTCGGAGTTGTCTGCACGACATCCTTGAAATTCTGGACTTTTTTTCGTTTGTCGTTGAGATCAAGGGTCGCAGGCTTCTGGATCTCCTGACCAGACCTTATTGATTGCTCATCAGGGTCCTTATGGGGCGGTGGCTTCCTTATTATTGGCACCTGGGAAATGTCAATTTACTCGTAGTAATTGAATTCTAGCTCAAGCGATGTGGAGAACTCGAGTATCAACAGGTGTAAAATTAATACTGGGAGTCTGGGGTAGTAACGGGAGGGTAAAATGGGGTGGCAATGACATGACGTGCCTGATTAATTATTCAGGGAAATAAAAAGTCATGAGCAGAACAGGCAAATGCAAAAATGTACAAACGAAGTCACGTATCAATGTTTTAGTCTTTTGTCCTGTTTTTTTTTCTTTTGGTTCTACAAACCTCGGGTTTTAATGTAGTCGAAAGGACCCGCCCTCACATCTACAAATGGAAGATACCAATGTGATTTACACAACCAGAGATAATTTAGATTAGTTTTAGTTTCGTTCTTTTTTTGTTCGGATCAACGTGAGCTCGTCACATGCCCCTGGACTAATTAATTTCGACTAAATATCAAGTAGCGAACTATTTGTATACTAATCACGACTCAACAATACCACATTCTACTGATTGTCACTGCACTGTTGCAAATTTTGACTGAAATTTCCGGTATATTTGTTGTGAGTTTTTAACAGCTGTAGTTTCACTGAAATTTCGAGGAATTTTGTCATTGAAAATTTACAATTTTATGGAAAATGTGAATTTTAGTTCTGATTCCAAAAAATCAATAGGATTCATATATTTTCTTTTCAATCATTCTGTTGAAATATTTTCTTTAAAAATTTCTCGGCTGGAATTTTCCAACTTTTTGGGCCATTTTTTAAATCAGAAGAGAAGACAAATAAAGTGGAATCAACGCAGAAAATCATGTGTGTTGTATGCAAATTCGCTAGGGTTTTCAAAGAATTTTTTTACTATTTCTAATCAACGGTCCCTGAAATTTCAGTATTTCAGTGTTTTCAACAGTGTGTGACGATAAAATCCAGGCCAAGATTGATTATTCCTACGCAATTTTATTTCTCATTATCAACTCTATTTTAATCCAGATATAAATGCATCAACTCAAATGCTCTTTCGTGAATTAATACCTCGATGTTGACCTTCTCCAGGACTTTCTTAGTTATCTCAACTTCACGTTTAAATATTTCCTTTCTCTCCTCTCGTCCACGTCTTCTTGGTTTGTCCAGTGGATCTGGCTTTAGATTCCCACCGACCATTGGCACCTTTATGGACTCGGGTATAAGTGCCTTTGTCGTGTCAGCCTCGCGTTTCAATAGAATCTTCTCCAGGTCATCGGTCTCTGGCTTGGAGGGCTCTATGAGATTGTCGGCCAGTGTTGGCTTGCTGCCACAAAACGACGTCTCCAGCAGACACTTGTGCGGACTCGGCGACCTTAGATCAACGGGGGGATTGTATCAGTCAGGGGGAAGGGGGCACAATCGTTATTTTGATCTATTGTTATTACCTGGAAGACGTGGCTGAGACAACTGAGAGTTTACCAGATACTCCTGACCCTTGGCTACCGACGGAAGACAATCTCGATGTTCTGCCACTTATGTTCAGGAGAATTATCTCGGAGCAATTGCTGTCTTTTCTCTCCCTGTCGTGCTTCAAACTACCACCGCACTCTGATTGCGTTCCATCCTCTTTTCTTCGTCGTGCGCGTTTTGCGTCTCTCTTTAAGTCTTGAGCGTGAATTGGGTCTTGGAGGTCTAGCTCCTCGGTGGAGGATCGCAGGTCTTGCACGTCCTCCTTGTAGCCGAGGGTTAGCTTACATCCCGTGGGAGGATCAGCCCCTGCACGATGTCAAAATCAAAATGCTCTTTTAATTACGTTTTGACAAGTTCATAACGAGTCGTTCTCGAGGGAATTGTGTGGGGGGAATTTGGAAAAATTAATGGGTAATAATTGAGGAAATAATTGGGAAATAATAAAAATAATGTTTTCATTAACAAAATTAAACAAATCAACTGAGAAAATCTCACAGATTTCTACAGAGAATATCTCAATGGAATAAATCGTACTGAAAAATCGAAGTCAATTGTTTGTTTCTATAGAATTTTTTCTTTTGCACATGTCTATGGAAAAAATCAGCCGAAAATTAGTAGAAATTCAAGAGAATTTTTAATTGAATTCGCTAAAATTTTCTCGTACGTTTTATTTTCAAAATGAATGTAGAAAAATATTTCAAAGAACAAATGGCTGAAGCACCGGGATATCCTGAACATCAAAAGCAAGAATAGTCCGATGAATAGTCTCACCCGCGAGTAATTCTCTCTCAGGCGACGATTCCCTCGAATTATTGCTGTCCTCATGATGCGAAGAACTGCTAGCCCGGCTGATGTCAATTCTCGGTGTGCTAGGTGTCTTGAGTGAACTCCCGGGTGTAACGGGGGTCGTCACCTCCACGATCCCCGGCATTCGAGCCGTTGATTCTCCCTGCATTACAATTCAAACAGTCATTTTTTCTCAATGCACAAATGTATCTCTCAACAGTCACTTTATCGATTTTGTTTTTTTTTTTTCTAGTATTTGTCTATCTATTTTTTTTTATGTTCTGAATAAATCCCCAATGTTGACAATTCGCATGTAGACGATGGGATTTCTGTTAGTTCTTTCAATTAATCCGTTTAAACATCTATTTTGCCACAACGTTGATAGGGGGAAGAGCGATGAGTCGAGTTTTTTTTGTGTTTTTGTTCGTCTCATAAACTCACGTTTTCCACCTCGTCGGAAAGATCCTCGAATGATGCTATCGGCGCTGGCCCGAGCTTCTTTTGATGACCGCTCGGCAATCCTGACGCCATTCTCCAATATTAACTCTGTTTACCTAAAAAATTGAGAATAAAATAACGTTCACTCGATTGCTATATTCGTTCTCGTCTGAAGCTCAACTGCTAATGACTCTTCACTGTTTTTCCAAGTGAATTAGATCGTTTAAAAGCCAGGGACATCTTCATTAGAGTCTCGAGACGCACTAAAAAGTTCATGGAAAACCCTAGTAAATTCTATAGAAATTCCTATTGGATTTCTATTTAAAAAAACGCATTTAAACTGCAGAATCAGCTGGAAAATTACGAATATTTCCAGCTTATCGTAGCTTGAAAAATTTTCTTTCCAAAATCTTCTATCTTAATTCTTAATAAAATATTCATCCGTGAATACAAGTAAAATAAATAAATCAACTAATAAATGAATAAAATAAAAAATTGAAAAAATAAAAATAAAAAATAATTAATAATGAATGAATACATAACGATCATGAATAATATGCATAAACCACTTGCCCAATTCAAGTGCGCATGAAACCAATAGAAATGCAATAGAATTTTCTCACGAATTCGCAACGTTTTTCTATGAAATTTTCCCATACCCGGAGTGCAAGCCAAACTGTGCAAAATATATTTTCCTTTTTACGCTAGCAGCATTTTCAACTAAATTTGATTGTGAGAAGACATTGAGAGTGTCGCGTGTAACAAACTGCCTGTAAAAGTCACTCTCCAGAGTAAAGCAAGCACAAAGAGCCTGGGGGCTTTCATCGTTCGCGGAATAATGCGAACCGCATGTGTCACTGTGTCAAAGACATTTCTTCATCCTCTTTCCTGCTGTCATTAAATTCAAGGGTTCTGGGGAGTCATTTCTCACCGTCAACTTCAATGAAACTTCAATTTTCACCGGGAAATGAATAATATCAATGAAACAAACTTTTTCCATAAGAATGGATCTAGATATTCCAACACGAGGGGACGTATAATCCCCTGAACGATAATTTAATTAATAAATGGGGAAATTGTTGGGCTAAAATGAGTTGAATGAATGAAATGAATGTAAATGCTCACGTGGTCTCCCTCAAATCCTCCAAACGTGTTGAATGCCAACCACCGATAAACGTAAAAACATCACGAACGCTTGTATTTTACCCGTGTGAGTTTACAAAGGCCTGCCCCGCTAATAAGCCTCACCCTATTCTTAGATACAAACTACTATACACACACGGCTATTTGTGTACACACAAGCTGTAGCACCAGTAACGGACTATCGGTTTAAACCCCCATTCGTCCGTGTAAACCCCACATGTACCTACATATTACCGCACCATACATTTGTCGAGGTGCATTGAACCCGTAATCCAGCAAATAAACCCCGAGTCTACGAATTGAATCCATAAATCACGCTGTACCTCATCCCTCAGCAAAAATAAAACTGAATGTGGAAGCAGAATTCCAGGAGCTGTGGGGAGACCGGGAGCATGAATCGATCGTAGCAAAAAAGAATGGTGAAAAAAAAATTATTGAATAGCCTTCGTAGTCGACCTGAATCCCGTCACAGTGACGTCGATCGTCATGGCCTGACCGAAGTGCAAACGAGGTCAGTCAACCACGACACATCGATCTCGTCACAGCGACTATTCCCCCAATTTTCGATTCATCTGCACTTCCACCCCCATTATAATCCCCTTAGCTTCCTGAATATCTCTGAATAACGTATAGTAATTGACATGACTCGTGCGAGCATTCCCCCTCCACCTTTCAGCTGCCCCATTCGTTAATACGCCTGAGGAAACGTGACTGCCAGGGGGGTTCACGCGACATCATCGTGGTGTTTGCGCTTGCTCACACGTCCCCGAGTGCCAAACAGGTGCAAGGAAAGTGTCAAATATCAGTATCGAAAAAAGAAATCGTGCAACAGATAGAGAGAGAGAGAGAGAGAGAGAGAGAGAGAGAATGATTGCTGAAGCGAGCAATTGTTGAAAATATGATGATTAATTGTTGGAGAGACTCACCCAGGCTTGCGTCCCTCCAGGGCGCGCACACACCAGCAAATCGATCGGCTATTCCATGTCTGCCTCCCGTGTGCCACCAACAGAAACGACTCACCCTCGTTAATTCTGTCAATCTCTGTGTAAAAAATCTAGCGAGGTTTCTCAGCTGAAATTTCCAGCTCGACAAACCTCTTGTGAGCAATTTCGGGCGTTTTGTGAGCGGGCTTCGAGTGCTGAGCAATCTTGGGGTGTTATTTCTTCGTTTCTTGGTCCTTTCGGGGATGGGATGCCAGCCCTCCACCTCAATTCAACCTCGCACATCACATCTTGAGTGGATTTTAGGGAAATCAGTCTAGTGTCGAGACTGTGACACTCTCACGACAGGACTGAAACGCGTCCGGCTTTCTCCGGCCCATTCGCACGTCCTAGGGGGGCTCGGAGCACGGTGGCGTTACTGGCCGAGTTTAATAAACACGTACCCCCCTGGTCGGGGGGATTGGTCGGCTTTATCGGGGGCTCCTGGCACGCTGGCCAAACGCGACTGGCGAGCACCCCCTCTGATCAACTGCTACAGTTGGTGGTGTTGAGTCGAGGGGTGGACGGTTGCGTTATGCGAACATAAGCCATGGATTCTCGAGGACTTCGAGGAGCTCGCCTCCTCCCCCCCACGGGGATGACGCATGCGTGGGAGTTTTGTTTTTCCGGGGGAATCGGTGGGGATGTGATGGGGTGCCAGTGATCGATTCAACGGGGGTTTTTACGGCTGAGGATTGGGGGTGGATGTTGCTGGTGTTGAGAAACACTGGGAGGGGAGGTGGAGGTTTCGGGGTGGTGAGTGGAATTCCACGTTTGGAGTTTGAATTTGGGGGAGGGTTTTTTTTTATTAAGGGTATTAATGTGCTATTCTATTAATGTTGGGTTCGATTGGGGCAGGGATTGGTAACTTTGAACTATTCAGGGGGAGATTGGGTGAATGGTCTGATTTGGATGAATTAGGATTCTTTTTGGGAACTGACTGAATTTCGTGAGAGCCAAAAAAATAGGGAAATTACACTGTTTTGCTTCCGAATGGAAGCCTTTTATGTGATACATTTTTCGATTCGCTAATTTTGTTCGTAAATAATGTAGAATGTCATGAAACGTGGAGAAATGATGTTTTTACGTCATGTCTGTATGTATGTGTGTGACAACTTGGATTTTGGGTGAACAATTGTTCGAAAATTCAACATAAATACGGTGAAATCGGTAGTTAGAAATCTGAAATTTTGGCTCATAGCTATGAATGAACTCTATATTGGCGCGCTGATCCAGCCCAATCGGCCCAGTAGTTCCTGAGATATATATCAATATGTTTAAATTTCAGTATTTTTGTGTGGCATTGTGGATATTCAATCTGAGCGGGATTAATGTTTTCGTTTGTGGAAAATGATAAGTATCGTAAGGTTTCTCCTTGTTTTACCTCGAAATCGTTGTTCGGTCTCTAGCAGACGCAAAAATCTAAATATGAAGTTGAAATCAAATTTTATTACGCTAAAAACCATTCAGAGGCCCACCATCAATTTATTGATGGCAAAGAAATTATAAAAAAAAATTAATGAGTGAGATGTTCACTGCCACATGCTCGCTGCCCCCTGCTTGTTTTACCATTTAATCATACCTCATGATGAGTTCATTAATGCTGCAGCTCACTGATGCGTCTCTCATTAGGCTCGTAGTCATGAACATGTCAAGATTTTTCGGTGTATCATAGAGTGACGAAAGTGTACTTGTCGTTCCTATCTTCGGATGAACGAGTGTGGTATCGCACGGTCTTGACGGTTCTGAATACCATCAGGTTCCTATTCGGAAATATCTGAGGCTTGGTGCACATAGCAGAAGTGCTGCGCAGTGCTAGCAAACTCACCGTGACATCTACCTGTCCAGATTTGTCGATGTAGCATAGATCGAAAGTTGTACGATGTCGCAAGGGCTTGACGGTTTTTTTGACGGACACGTGAATTTTATTGGGGTAGGGAGCTCGTTGATGGAATTAACAACTTTGAATTATTCAGAGGAAGATGAGGTGAATAGTCTCATTTGGATGAATCAGGTTTCATTTGAGACTTAAAAAACTAGCTTGAAACTGAAAAAAAGTCAAATTCCATACTTTTGTCAATTATTCATTCATCTTGAGAACAAGCCTTCGTGAGAAAACATATAACAAGACATTTTCTCTTGAAATTACTCATCATCGAGATAATTAAAAATTCAAAAAATCGAATATGCTATCTCCCTTAATTACAAAATCCTCTTGGTAATGAACAATTTTAAAACAAAATGTCCTGAGGTGAACAATGATAACTTCAATTAAGTTTACGTATTTATTATGAATATTTTTATTACGAGTTGGTACGTACATTTGCGCCAGCACAAAAAAAGGGACAACAATTCATGTTGCATCACTCGAGTCATGGGTAATGATAAAGAAATGAAGGTGAATTTTTTGTCCCTTTTTGCATGTTAAATTCCAAGACTAGACGTGACAGCGAGGCTTTTACGTCTTCGCCGAGGCGCAACCTCACCTGCCCAGGCGTTACTTCCTCTCACTCAACATATTTTCTTTCTTTTATCGTATTAATTAAATTACAGTGGAAACGGTCATTGTATTACACCGTACATTTGCAACGGTAGGTACACATTTTTACAGGGCAGTGTTAAACGCGTCCGAGTTATGTTATCAGACAGGCACTAAAGTCACTCTTCGATTTTCTTTTCGTTATGGGTTTGAAGAGAATCAATCGCATTCCTTGGTCCCATTGACTAATATTTTGATTGTGAGATTTTCCAATTATTTGGAATTATTGTAATTCCTGCAGTTACAGCTGGCAGTAGGTAGTTCAGGGACTCTAGGAACCGATTTGTTTTAGAACACAAGAATCAATAGCTCCGGACGAGATAAAACACTGAGAACACGTTAATTGTCGAATTCTTAATTCTTTTGACAAATTTTCGTTGTCGACGATTAATGAATTTGTTGGATAAATTTGCAGCAGATGATATTATCAATCAAAAAAAGACTTTCTGACGACAAATTCATTCAACACAATTCGTATCAATCATCAATTCACTTGAAATGCACTACAAATAGTTAATTCATCATTTGAATTGTCATTTTTATTATTCGGTTTTTTATTTCATCTGAACAATTTCTTGTTTCAAATTAATTATTTCTGATTTGAAGATAATCGCATCCCTTGGTCCCATTAATCCACATTTTATTTGTGAAACCGTTTTCCAATTATTTGGAATTATTGTAATTCCTGCGGTTACAGTTGGCAGTAGGTAGTTCAGGGACTCTAGGAAGCGATTTGTTTTAAAACACAAGAATCAACATCTTCGGATGAGATAGAACACTAGCAACATGTCAATTGGTAAGTATTCCATCCATTTGACAAATGTTCGTTGTCGACGATTAATGAATTTGTTGGATAAATTTGCAACAGCCACTGCACGATCACCTGACCATCCTCAGAGTATTTTCAATTTTAAAAAACCACTCCCTGACGACAAATTCATTCAACACAATTCATCTCAATCATCCCTCCAATTGAAATATATTATAACCAGTAAATTCACCCCTCGAACTCCCATTTTCTCCTATAAATGGTTTCATCATCATTCTACAAAAATATTCAATTTTTGTAATCACTAAATCGACAAAACGCTCTGTCCCAGCTCGCTCTACATGCATCCCAACAAAAATATTCCCCAAAGTTTTCAACTCGAGGAATCGCGTCGTTAGTCACGACTTTCCATGCTACTTGAGATGCAAAAAAGTTTGTGCCAGTTCTGGGCAATGTTGGGTTACAACAAATAGTAAGAGTACAAGTTGGTGAATGTCAGAAGCCAGACTCAAGTCACGGATTCATTTCTCCTATCGCTGTTTCAGTTTTTCCAATAATTCTATCTTACAGAGAATGAAATCACTTCCTTCGTGACACCCTCGAAGACATTCAATGTTCTATCCTCGGTATTGAAGAGAGTGATTGCGAAGGGAGAAAAGAGAAGTCAACGAATTAGGTGCTCGTTCCTCGCGTGAACGGCAGTCGTTAGCTCTCAGCTTTCTATTTTTTTTTCGTCCAGTTCATTTAGGACCGAACTGAGGAGGTGCTGGACGTCGATGCGAAGCGATTCAACTTGCTGTCGATTATTATTTCATCGCCATTTCTTATGTTGTATCTGTACAGTTGCTTGTTGGGGTACAGCATCTCCTCTGGGCCATATTGTGCCTTCATCACCTGTCGAGGGGAATTAAAAGTCATTCGTAATGCGGAATTATTCTTTCAATGGGGAGAGGAAATGGTCGATTTTATTTTCACCTGGTCTACGTAGAAAAGTCTCATTCTATTGGCAGGAATTTTCACCATCGACTCCAGTTTCGTCTTCAGCTCGAATACTGTTCTATAAACGTCGACACACCGTACCTAGTCGGAATAATCAATTCGTTAGAATCTATTCAATAGAATTGCAATGATTGAAAGGAGTGAATTGGTAGTGATTTACCTCGACGAGATCTCCATAAGTAAACTTCACCTTCACTCGTTTCTCGGGTGTTAAGTCAACATGGACGAGGGGATCCAGTTTTCCATGGATGCTGACTAGCTCGGCGTATCTGAAAAGAATAGAGGCATCCATTTGATTCGTTTTTTTTCACTCGGCGATATCAACATTTTTTAGTTTTTTGAAGGGTGAAGTGAAGAAATGAAGGTAGCAAATCTCCAAATAATCGACTGTGTCAACGTTAATTGAAATTATTGGTACATAGTATTGGAATTTCGGTCTATAACAGCTTTTTACTACAGCCTTTCTTCTGATTTCAACGCCCTAAGGCTCAGTCTTGCGTAACAATTCATAGGTTTTGTGATGTAAAAATCCTGTTCGGAGAATGTTTCAATTGACTAAATGAAAAATGTGGCTTAGGAAAGATTTCATGAAGAGAATTATGAGTAATATGTCTTCATCTCCACGAAGGACATTTAATATTCATTACTCTTATCATTTCCATAGCATTATATTCAGCTAAACTTTATGAACTTCAATATTATTTTGACAAAATCGATTTTTGTACCAAATTTGAGTAACAATTCATTGGTTTTATCATTGAAAAAACTCCTGATAATAGAACTATGAAAAAAATCCAATAAAAAATTCTCCAACTAACAATAAAATAAAATGAAAAAAATCTTGAAAAAGACTCGATAGACAGAGTTTTCAGTACTATGTCCTCGTCTCCGTAAAAGCCATTAAATATTCATTAGCCTTATGATTTCCATAGCATGCATTCCTCGAAACTTCACGAATGTCAATATTATCTTGATAAAACCAACGTTTTAAATCAATTTTATGCAACAATTGATCGTTTCTGTCATCAAAAGACAATGCCGCAGATAAAACAAGAAAAAACTCAATAGAAAATGCTTCAACGAACAAAATGAGTCAAATAACATTGAAATAAAATCAAAAAAGCCACTTGCAAAGACTTCACAGCCAGAATTATCAGTACTCCATTTTCATCTCCATGAAGTACAGTTAATATTCATTAACCGCATTTCCATACCATTAAATTCCCTTATACTTCACGAACATCAATCGCAAATGAATAAACTCAGTTCCTCCCAGGAACTGTCTCATTCCCACGTCCATTTTCAATGAAATACATACCTTTCCGGTCTATCAGCTTCCGGCTTATCCATATAGTACCTAATGAATGCCCTCTCAGCGTCCTCGCGCTCCTGCGAGGAAATGACCCCCCCGCCGTTGAGAGTCTCCACGTTAGGAAGCCTGGCAATGAGTAATTGTCGTCTCTCGTGCTCAGTGTACTCACGTGGGCTCTGAAAAAGTCCGATCAATTAAAAAAAACAGCGTCAACCTTCTTCGAATATCCCCCGAAGTGAGTCTCACCTCGAACAGGGGGCAGCCCTGCATTCTGAGGGCCTTCATAGCGGGGAACCTCGCGAGCCTCTCCACGTCGTCCCAAGTGGACAGCAGAGTCCCATTGACATTCAAAAATCTAAGCATCCTGAAGGGATCGTGGGTGGTCCCCACCTTGTTTCCACTGCTCTCACACTCGCTCTCCGATCTGTTGTAACTCTTGTCATCCCCGAATATCCTCTCTACCCCGTTCTCCGACTCCTTGACATGTCTCTCCACATTCTCATTCTCGTCGTCCGCCCGCTCGCTGGAGCTCTTACTTTGGCACAAACTCGTCTCGTCGTAGTTTCTGTTCTCCTCGAGGGCTAGTGATCTGATTGGACACTCGGCGAGGACTAGACTCTCGAGGCTTGGAAATGCGTATCCAAGCTTTGATATTTCACACCAGGACTCTATGGGATTCCCCGTGAAGTGGAGCTTCTTGAGGGATCTGTTGACGTTCTCCGGGTTTTTGTGATCAAGATCCACGGTTTTAAATTCGTTCAGGGACAAATGGAGTTCTTCGAGGTTGGTTAGCAGTCTCACGAGGTCCTGCACTGTTGTCCAAGGCACTCGGGTGCCGTTCAGAACGAGATTCCTCAGGGACTCGAACCTCCCGCGCTTCACCTCAAGCTCCTCTGCCAGGCTATTGAAGCTCAGGTTAACGAATTTAATCTTGGGCATGTGCTCGAGAATTCCGAATACCTCGTCCCACTGGGACAATTTGTTCTGGGCAAGGTCCAGTTCCTCGACATTTTTGCATTTGCTCTTGAGTTTTTCCGCGTCGTTACCTGCACACTCAATGTCACAGTCCTGGAGGACGAGGAGAGCCGGCACTGTGTGACGTGGTGATTTTTTTGGGATGAATATACTGACGGACAGGGCTGTTTTTGGCGAGCCAGACAACTCGGTTTCCTCGTCGGTCAGGGAACACTCCGGGCAATCTGCTGTTGTGCTACCGTATTTTAGCTCGAGGGCCTCCAGCAGGGACGGCATCTTTACAGCATTCTGGAATTATTTTGACATTGAGGGTTTGAGTGCATGGAATGAACAATTTTTTTTTCTTTAGAATATTTCGGTTCTTAAATTGAAAATATTATCCTTCTTGAATTGAACGGTTTCTCGGGATTTTGTAAAAATTTTATTACATAGTTCCACGGAAATTTCATTGAAAAATTAAAATTATATAGAAAAATCGGTGGGAACTATAAATTTGAGTTCAATTATTCCATGAAAAGACATTCTTAAATTCTTGATCAATTGGAAATTTTGCCTGATTTTGGCATAAATATTCATGTTTTGATTGAAATCCGAAATCCCATTATTTCCTTCATAAATTTCATGAAATCCCAATTTTTTTGTAATATTCTAAATTTCTTCTGAAGTAAAACTATTCATATTTCAAGAATTTTTGCAAATATCTTCAAAATTTATAATTCTATCTCAATGAAATTCACACCTCCTTCGTTGAGCCTTATCTCTTTCGAATATTTTCCTTTTAAGAACCCAAATATTTTAATTCTAAGGACTAACGCCTGGATTTAATGAAGATCGTCTACATTGTAAAAAAATTAACTTAGTTTCACATCAACTCCGTCCATAATTTAAAAAAGAAAAATTGAAAAAAAATTCTGACCGCTTGCAACCGGAGACAAAAATAAAAGTCCTTAATCAATTTTAGTTGTTCTTAATCTCACGGATGTAAATGGAGAAATCAAAGTGGTGGAGAAGTTGTCGAGGGCAGGAGACAGAGAGAAATAGAATCTTGCTCTGACCATATTCGTTAAGGTCACAGCAGCAGCATTGTCTCTTTTTTATTCAGCCTCAAAACCGGTACTGCGATTCCCTCCCGGGGGGACTCACGCACGAGTTGTATGTGCAGATAGGCGAACTCTAACGCTTGGGTTTATACTAGAGCTCGTATCGGTAAACTTGCGCCCACGCTCATGCGAAAATCCAGTGAGAATGTGTGTTAGATGCAGCAACTGGTTTTATCCAGTTGGATAAAAAAGTCGTATTCACGTGGTTCGTTTTTTCAATTAACATTTTTCAGTTCAATAATTCCAATCCAAAGCAGGTGGAACACGTCATGCATTTATGGAGACCAGTGGGTAGTTGAGAAGAAATGAGGGAATTGATGAAAAAGTGATTCGCGAGGCGCAATTCAATCGCATTATGGCTAATCGGAAAGTCCCAGCGACTGTTCATTGTGTTTGAAATCAAGTTCAGTTGGAATCGTGGGTTAATGCTAGTGTGGGTTTTTATTTGCAAACAATGCGCCTGATGGGTCGACCGTTAACGAATCCACGAAGGTCATTTCTTTTGTTCACGGATTCAATCATTATCGATGAAATAGTAGATAACTTTGATGACATCGTTAGTACATCCTCGACAGTATCGTTTTAAACGGGAGTTACGTCAGTTCGGGAGATACATGGATGACTTTTGGCGGCGGTCCAGCTGCATCTTCGTTACTTGTGGGATTTAGGGGGGTGTATCGGGTGGAAAATAAAGAAAATTGAGGAGCGCAATTCTTTCTAATTTTCACCTCCAAATATCAATGTTTAGTAAACAAATTGAATACTTCTAGCAAAAAATCCAACATTATAGGTAAATATTCCATGAAAATAGTGCAATTTTTGTTAGTCATTGAATTTTGAAATTTCGTGACGTGAAATTAATTTCATTTCATTTTTATTTCTTGCACATCCAACAGCACACGGCCAGGATCAAAATCAAACAGATATAAAATATCACAATGAAATTAATAAAATCAACGGATCAAATTAATACTCATGACGGAAAGCATTACTTATGTTGTCTATATTTAAAAATTCTCAGACTACCTAATCTATCAAAATCAATTAATAATGAATGCTCAGACTTTTTGCTATTTGTTTTATGTTTTGCTGTCGATTTTTTTGGCATTGGCTGGAAAACAAATAAATTTGGGAGGGAAAAGAAAATTCCATAAATAGAGCAAACAAAATATTTCGGGGGGAAATTTGACAGAATTGAAACTATTGGGGCAAAACAAGCTGTCTTATCTTCAATGTTTGACGACATTCTGTTTTGTTCTGAATGTTCTCTAAAAATCCATGAAAACCAACCTGTAAGCAAATCAGTGCTTGACCCCCATTCTAAACATAAAAAAAAATAATCAAACATTCCCAACAACAAACAGATTAAAATATCCGGAAATTCGTTGAAGAAAACAAAAAAAAAATCCCAGCTAAAATCCAGCGATGTGTTTTTTCTCAAGAACAATATTCTTAATTTGACAAATCCGAGACTTTCCATTATTCGAGATGATTGCCACGGAAATGCGTCCCAGGGGAAAGCGAATTTTCGAAATTTCCCAGGTCGTTGAATGCCAGACGAGCCGTCCCCACATTTCATTAATTTTTTCCATCGAAGATACCTCACGGCTCTATAAATTTGTTCCCTCCGATCCTCGGAAAAAATCCCTCAACTCAAACGTTACCGCTGCACGTGTGCATATAATCGTGCCTGGTAAAACGCGGCCTGAATAATGTTTATGCTTTGTATATAGCATAATAGCTCCACGTTCAGTCGGATCGAGCGTGTAATGGGGTCCTCCCCCCTCCTCCCCCCCATGTGTCTCTGCACTCAGTTTCTCACGTGTTCATGTCTCTAAACTCTCATGTTAAATGAATCAGGGAGGTATTTTTTTTTCATCATCATTTTTTTTATTCATTCACCGTGTTGAGCTGCAATGCTTTTGGACTTATTGTTTAATGTTAACGTCCTGTACCGTCTAATACGGCGATCAGTTCAACGTCCATGCGAAAATTAACTTTCTCCGTGGGCCCCCATTGGTGTATAGTTTGCTATTGCACGGCGACGGTTTTATGCTGGCCAGTCTGGACGAGAGGTGCATTGCTCCGAGTTACAGGCCGCGTATTAGAGGCATGACAGTGGACTATGTAACTAGCTCGGGCTTCTCCGAGAGGTTGTGGGGGCTGGTTATTTCTTATTGAACGTTTTATGTATTGAGGAGTGGAGAATAACTGAGAAACCGAGGAGGTGATGAGGCGAGAGCCTCGGTACTCATTTTTTCAATGAAAAATTCGCGTTTTACATGATTTTTTTTTTCATTCTGAATTTGAAAACGGAATGAAAAACATTAGATACTAATTTTTTATTTCGATGAATGCATTCCATTGTGACGCCATGATGCAGACTGCGTACTGCTGGTTTCTCATCAGCTTTTAAAATCTTCTTTTCATCCAATTTACGTATTTATTAATTCATGCAATAACGCAATCATTGACAATTCATCGGGAACAATTTAACAATCGTTGTGACGATTGTTAAATTTTGTTATTGATGGAAACATTATTAATGTTTCCAGTATTATGAGGCTGATGAGGTGACATTTATTGTTCTTGTGAATAACGCATTGAACGTTTTATGTACCAAGTAATGGAGAAAATGTAGTTACAGCGGGTGACGAGGTGACAGCCTCAACACTTATTTTTTAAATGAGGAATTGGCGTTTTACATAATTTTTTTACATGCTGGATGTGAAAACAGAATGGAAGACATTAGATACAAATTTTTATTTCGATGAATGCATTGCATTCTGACGTCATAATGCATACTGTCATTTTTCATTAGTTTTTAAAATCATTTTTTCATCCAATTGGCGTATTTCACATCCTATTCAATAAAGAAATTCATGCAACAACGCAATTATTGACGACTCATTTTGAAATTTTGCTTTCGATAGAAACATTCTTGATGTTCCGAGTTTTTTAAAGCTAATGGATTTGCTTTCCCATTTGTCTCGCCCGGTTGAATTTTATCGTCCATTAGCAACATCAGTTCAACTCCCACGAGAACCGGTGCATTGACACCACCCACAGACCACCGAATTCTGTCCATCACTTCCGCTCGATTTTTATCCATTTAATTCCCTCCCGGGTCTTTGTACCTGCCAGCGGACATCAGCAATTTTCTATGCCAACTAACGAAGAGACTTATCGATGCCCACTTACGCAATTAGTCGTCATGCAACCGACTCTTTCACTTTTCCCATCTCGCATCCTATTTTTTCATTACTTCAATTCTCGAGTTGGTAATTATTTTAATACATCAGCTTAATCCATGGTAATTATTTATCTGGATGAAATTAAGTGGGGAAACTATCCGCGTCGGGTAAGACAAATTTCTAACATTTGTTTATTCTATTCGCCGTGAGTGTTTAAGATTGGGAAAAGCAAATAATGTTGACGCAATGATGCCAGGGCAATTCGACGATATTGGGGCGGGTTATATTTATACGTATAACGTGCACGTCTGTTTTGTGGTAGCCGATCTGAAATATGGAATGCACACTGGGTGAGCTGCAGTTTGCAGTTTATCGTACGAGCAATGATATTGCTCATGCGTAACAGGCACATCTCTATTTGTTACAAAACAACAGAAATAACGAAATTAATGGGAGAAAAAAATCTTGAGTGCAAAATATAACACTTAATTCAAAAATATTTATTTGTAATTAACAATACGAAATTGTGAAGGCTTCATTGTTTTTTTGATTGAAGAATTTGTTTTTTCGTTGAATTGAGAATTTTGAAATTCGTCTTGCTATAATGCTTTTTTTTGTAAATGATGAATAAATATTATCCACTTAAAAATTGCAGAGAGACATTCTTGAATAAAAATTTGAAGCATCTACTCATCAAATTAATCTTCACTCAATAGTATTTTTTTTCTAATTGAAAGATAAACATTCTGGACTTGAGAATTCCAGATAATAATATTTATTTTCAATCAAATCATTTCCTCTTTTTTAATCAAAGAACCTCATGCATTCTTGCTTGAAAAAAATGTTTCCATTAATATTTCACAATTCCCAGATGTCAAAAAAAATACCAGTCATCATTAGGAGCGAAAAAATTGATATTTTAAGTTGTATAAACCGTCGAATGTAGATCGTGTTTGTGATTCGAAGCTACATTGCGTAGTTCAGCCAGCGATGCTACGAAATGTCAGGCGGAAGACAAATTAATCTTCCGTTGATGATATTTTTTCTAATTAAAGGATAAATATTCTTGACTTGAGAATTCCAGATGATAATATTTCTTTTCATTCAAATCATTTCCCCATTTTTAATCAAAGAACCTCATATATTCTTGATTGAAAAAAATGTTTCCATTAATATTTCACAATTCCTAGATGTCAGAAAAACACAACAGTCATCATTAGAAGCGAAAAAAATTGACATTTTGAATTGTATGAACCGTTGAATGTAGATCGTGTATGTGACTCGATGCTACATTGCGTAGTTTAGGCGGCACTGTTACGAAATGTCAGACAGAAGCATTTGCAGTGACTGGGTCAACTCGTGAATTGAGCCTCCACCTCGTTCGTGTTTTCCGCGATAGAACATATTCTCTCGGTGTAGAATAGAAGAACAGAGATGCTCGAAACGCCCTGTGTCATGCCTAATTGCAGCAGCAAAGGTCGTCAGGAGGAGCAAAAGCGGGGATTTTATAGTCTCCATCGGTGTAATTATTTCTTCATCGAGGCGATTATTATTCGATACTTCTCCAAACTCTCGCATTAATTTTAAAGCTGCGATGATGTTCAATGAGGAAGAATTCAAACATCAACTCTCGTTAATGGGATTGGGAAATGGAATCCCGGTTTTCCGTATAAACCGTGAGATTTGATACCACGATGACCCAAATTTGCGGTTGAAACTGGTCGAAGGCCACTGGGCCACACCGAAATAGAGTGACGGAGGTACGCTGATCGTTGCGACGCAGAAGCATCCACAAAAGATGATTAAAAAAAATGAAACGTGTTTTTTCAGCGTTTTAAAGGAAATCGCCACGCGTTCAACTGCGCACAATATCGCCATCGTTTGTGTGTACATACTTTACTCATTTCCAAGGTTAGCGCTCTGTACTGGAGGCTCCTTTGTTTCGATTCCCCGACCGATGGCTCTTCTTTTCTCGAACAAATGCGGAAAAACGAGAATTCGAACGTCCAGTGTCGGGAGAGCCAGTGCAATGATCTTTTATTTTAAAACGTTCGTTTTTATTTTATTGTGAAATTGTTCGTTCGATAATTTCTTTTTCCTTATTGGATAATTAATATTCTGAGCTCAAGGATTGCGGACTTGTTCACAGTATTTTTCGCTTCATCCATTGACTTTTATTCAATTTATTTTTTAAATTCATTTTATACGACACTATTTTTATATCTTTGAATTACGAATTTATAAATTCTTCATTCATTAACATTTTTTTCTCAATTGATCAATAACTATTTTGGACTCAAGAATAAAAAAATAATAAATAATAAATAAAAATAAATAAAAATAATAAAAATTCCGAACTGAAGAATTTCATAGACATTCTTGAAGAATGTTTTCATTTCACTCTCAATTTAAGAATTTTCTCATTTACCACTGAAGAAAGTTACATACATTATCTGTTTTATCTGATTAAATTATTTCTGGGAATGATTTTTTCGAGAAATGAGAATCCGGAAGTTCTATCCCGTGAGAGCCAGCGCAATGATCTTTTATTTCCACCATTCACTTTAATTTGTTATTAATTTTCATTGAAATCGCTAGTCATTTCCTCTACTCACACCGGAACGCATAACTCCAGCCTTGACTCAACAAACTTTGATAGTTTATCAGACGAGAGACATTCAATAGGCTGTGTAATATCTCTAAATTTAAAAAAACGCATTCTATCGATGTAACCCGATGCAGGCACGTTGATACTTTCCTCTCGCTTTCCGAGGCATTTTCAGGGGAAATAATCGTATAGAATTGTGGCAATCCGAGTGGATAGGACTTTCGAAATATTAAAAACCATGAAAGGTATAGTTTATCGAATAAAGAACAACGCTCCATTGGCCTTGGACCCAGTCGTGAGCGTCACGGGTTGGTGATCGTTCAACGTGACTCGATCGGTTCGATTACATCTAACTCGTCGCGGAACAGATGATAATTAGCAATAGAATAATTTGTCACTTATGAAGCAGGAACTTATCGATTTTTAATCGAAATTTCCCATGTGGTATTCAAAATTCCTCGAGAAAGTTGAATTTTTCTCGTGGCTTTGCTCATATTCCTGTGGAATTCTCTTCATCTGCTTGACGAAATGAGAATTTTCTGAATACTCTAGTATGGATCTGCAGTTTTACATATTCAATTTTACTCATAAAATTTATGCATTAGGTTATGAAATTATAGGGGAATTTTATCTGTTCTGAACGATTTTACATAAATATTCAGTATTTAATAGGAAATTGAGACAAAATATTGCAACAATGCACAAAAAAACGATTCACGTAGAAATATTACCAAACATTGAGGCAGATCATGTGCACTTATGTAAATTTAATAAAAATCTCCAACAAAGGCTCGTAAAAAAAGGAAAGCTCTCCTGAGTTTTCAGTTTTTTAGTGATTATTTATGTTAAACTGTTGAGAAAAATAGAAGTCTATTAACAAATCGGTAATTGCCCTGAAAAAATAATAATTAACTCTGAATATTCTAGCACAGATCGGTAGTTTTCAGAAAATATCCAATTCTCTTCATAAAAACTGATTCATTAAGTCATAAAATTCCAGAGAAATTTCGTGTTTTCCAAACGACTTTACAGAATTCTTCGGTATTTAGTGGGGAAATCAGGTAAAACACTTCAACAGATAATTCTTTAAAAAATATTCAATTTCATTAACAAAAGTTATGAATTGTCACTAGGATTTTTCAATTTCCTATAAATATTCAGTGTTTACACGAAAATTCAATGTAAAAACCACCGAATAAATCTCTTCACCTAAGAATATTGTCCCCACGCAAAAACTAACCGCGCAAGCAAGGGGACAAATGAATGCAGCGCTTATCTAATCAAGTAATCACCTCTTAAATAAAGAGATAAATCCTCCAGTCTTCACGATGCCCTCAACCACGGAAATAGATAATGGAAAAAAACGCGTAATACAGGTGGAACTGTCACGAGACAACAGACCCGAGTCCCATTGACCAATGAACAAAGTCACTCTAATTATTCCGGCGATTTAACGCCCATTTGGAAAGTCTTTGCGCAATTCGAGAGTTTCCTACTGCAAAACCCAAGAGAATAAAGAAATATCGAAGTTTTACAATCCCCAGTGCAACAAAAACATTAAACACAGAGTTACCTATGAAAAAAATTAATAGAATATAGCGAATTCGCTGGAAAATTCTATTGGATTTCTATTGAACTTTTTATTAATTTTTGGCCGATTACACAGAAAAATTCTGCAGCTTATCTGCGCGGTTTTTCAATAGAAATGTTCAATAGAAAATTTCTGTAGAAAAAAATCAATAGAATTCCATTCACCAGCAGAAAAAATTGAGAGAATCACGTCTAGGAATTCCTATAGAAAAAGTTGTGCAGAAAGATGAAACTCTACAGTTTTTTTTTCAAAAATAATTTCGCACATTTTCGATTGAAAAAATCCTAATATTTAGGAATTTCTAATTTTCCCTATAATTTTCAGTGGAACGCAATAGAATTTTCTGTGGTATTCGCAATATTTCTCTATCAAATATTTTCGTGCGTAGCATTTGACTCAGTCACCCAAAAAAATGCTCATGCCTCAAAGAATCGAAATTTGCACAGAACGACTTCTACATTTTTCCTCCAAAAATAGTTCTGGCCATTTTCTATCCAAAAACCCCGGAGTCCATCGAATTCGCGGTTTCTCAATTAAATATTTTCATGCGTATCATGATGACTCATCCATCCACCAAAGTTCTAATGCCTCGAGGAGTTGTCAGATACCTTTAAGGGCCTTCGACCACGTTTACCTCTTGCCAGGATAGGCTCACTGAAACCGTCTACCTGTCACGCGAGAGGAGGAGGGGCTCCTCACCGAGAGGTGCATAGATCTCACCACCGCCGCCTAATTCCCACCTTACATAATACTCCTTCACTACAAACTGCAGTCACTCATGCAAATCCTCTCTAGAATCCAATTAAACGTGCAGTCCACACCTCTAGAAATAGCGGTGAAAAAAATATTCCAACAGACTGTGGAAAATTTTCCAGCGCCAGTTGCAGACTACAATCTACGTTTCATGTTAACCCGTGCCGAGTACTCGAGGAATCGATTCACGTCGACTCGTAGCGCTGGAGAGAGAGACAAGAGGTCAAGAAAATTGCTCCTAACCCGCGTATCATATTCGCTAGACAACGGGACATGAATTTCGTTTTTATTTCCGTCACTTCTCCCGGTTTTTTGCGACCTTCGCTCGTCAAATCCGAGGCAATGGGGTCAGGGACCACGTTAAAGGCCCAAAGGGTTGCGTACATCATCTCGATGTCCTCGGCCTATATCTAGATTTACTCACTGTTTCTCAGTTTTCTCGATTCTGTTTTCCGCTTCCTCTCGACTACTCCACTGTCTCCACCGTACTTTCCCCCTTGATTATTCTCAATCAACAACAACTGGGTAAAACTTTGTTCAGTACGAAATAATAACGAAATGAAAATAAAAGAAATAGGTAACAGGGAAGGGGGCCAGAGAGGCCGTAAAAGTGAGCGGGCGAAGCGTTCCGCCCGCCGTTCACCGATGAACTGGTCTCCTTTGTTTAGTAAACAGAAACAGCTGAGCTGGCTGACGGCTACGGGACGCGGTGGAGGTGCAAGTGGTGGTGGCAAGCAACGCCAGCCGTCCGTGCAGAACTCTCGTGTCTCTTTATCGACCGGGACATCTGGATAATTAGCTACGGGGGGGGCAAATGGAATTGATCACCAGTTTTACTGACCAATTTCTGGTGCCCAACAAATACATTCGACCAAAGAGTCCTTGGAAATTTATTCGAAGGGTTATTTCATCATTTTGTGCTAGTCACAATATTTTCTGACGTCATCCATCTTCTGAGGAATAGTGCAACAGCATTTATATAGGAATTATTTCTGAGTTTGAGGATATTCAAGTACTTTGGCTATTTTTTCCCACTTTGACCCCAAGTTTCCGGACATTTTACAATTATTTTGTGATTTAAACTTTGCCGAACTGTTGGAAAACATTTTAAAAGTCAGAAAAAAAATAGAAAGTTTACTTTTGGAGGAAAATTGATGAAATAATTTAAAAATTTCGATTTTTGAAAATGAGCATTTTCCGTAAATAATTTTTAAATAATCAATTTTCCAAAAATAATCATTTTTTTGGAATCGTATCAAATTTATTCATCTTCAGAATTTTACCAGAAATCGATTTCATGCCTAAAGAAAAGGTTTTCGAAGGTTAAACATTTTTAATTATCAATTTATAAACAACGAATGTTTAAAAAATAATAGTTCTGCGCGAAACGTAATTTGAATAACCCTGAATATTTTCTCACATAATTTAATTTACAAATTTAATGATTGAAAATGATTGATTCAATACTTGAATATCCTTAAGAATAATTCTTGCTCTTTCCATTTTGTCATTTTATGTGGACAAAACCGTTGCTTATGCGACCAAAAACTGGACTTTATGTTGTCAATAAACAAACATAAAAAAGGGGGGAATAGAGCACAGAGTCTTCTCCGGATGATTTAGAGGGGATTTGACACGGAATAATGAAACCCGAGCATTTCTGCGTAGAAAGATAAGGAGGAAATGATTCTCAGGAAAGATTTATTGGACGGAGACTGCTACTGATTGCCAGTGCAGCTGACTGTTCGTGGGAAGTGTCAGGAGTTGTTCTGCCAGTCTGAAGATAATGGGCACTCGTCAATTCCGTTCAGTTTTTTTTTCTAGGAGTCGGAAAATTTAGATTTTTGGATGATTTACATCGCAAAAAAGGGAAATAAAATTGTCATAAAAAATGGAATATCTTCTATTTTATGTTTATCTCTGGATAATCTGTGCTTTCTTGGGGTCAATAACCTTTAGGATGGGGTTTTTTCGTCCCCTAGGCGGTAAGGGATAAAATACTCTCGAAAAGGAGTTGAATGTCTCAGATTAACTCAGACTTCATGTGTTGGATTTCATGAAACGAAATAGTATTCAATTATGTTGTTCTCTGTTTTATAAAATAATAGATGAAAATGATTTTTCATCAATTCAAAATTCAAGAACATATTGGCCTGAATTTTTCAGATTTCTATTGATTTGAATGGAATAATTGAACTAAAATTCACAGTTTCTATTGATTTTTCCTTTAAATTGTAAATTTTCGATGACGAAATTTCTCGAAATTTCAGTGAAACTATAATGTTTCAAAAATTCCTAACAACCCGGGGTAATTCTGGGGATCAAAAGTCCCTCCTCTCTCTGAGAGGCGAAATAAATCAGTCACAATTCGTTTAATTGCTTAAACAATTCTCATGTTATTCATAGATACATATATATGTTCCGTTTTTCATCATTTTAAAATTAAAATAATAGGTTACACTCGTTCTGTCGCTCTTGCACTCTCACTCTACTACTTCGTTCTCCTCTCTCTCATTTGCCCAGCACAGATTAAGGACAAATAGGTATCATACATGAGGCGTGTACTCCCGTTCTCACAATTTGTGGTATGTATAGTTGATATACATAATCATGTACATGCTACGGTATTTCATTGATTTTTCATTACTTTTTTTATTCTTTGGAAACGTGGTTATCTTTCATTGTTGGAGTTTGATTGGTAATGGGTAATTTAACGGAAATATGAATTTTATTGCACCATTTGTCTACTTCTATAACAATGACAACACAGTTTTCGTCATTTACAATAGGAGTGGGTAGTATTTTCGTAGCACGTACGAAAATGTTTCATAGAGAAATATTATGAATTCGCTGGAAAATTCGATTGGATTTCTATTGAATTTTTCATTAGTTTTTGTCCGATTCTATTGGCAAATTCCACAAAAAATGGGAAATTTTACATCTGAAATATTCAGTGTAAAATATTTTATAGACAAAAATCCATAGAATTCGACTTTTCTATACTAATTGTTCTATTGAGATGCTTTCTACAGAAATTTCTCAGCTAAAATTCTCTGGGTTTTTTTCCTTAGATTTCTCTAATGAGAAGAGACGAAAAATAGAGTAGAAAACCTCACAAAATTCATATCGAGGAATTCCTATAGAGAACGTTTTATAGAAAAATTAAATTCTACTGATTTTTTAATGAAATAGTGTTCACCAGATATTTCCTATTTTAAGCTGCGGAATTCTTCACGGGAAACTGCAAAAAAATCAGTAGAATTTGCCACCGAAATTTACTACAAATCCAATCGAATTTTTTTATCGAATTTACTAGGTTCTTCTATTAATTTTTTTCGTGCGTGAGGGTATGGTTTTTTGTTCAGTTTAATAACACATACATTCGAGGAAAAGCTACGCGATTTGGTAACGCTTTTTCGGGCTCCCCACCATTGGTTTCAGCAGCGATTTCAACACCCGCCGTTAATCATTAGTATATCCTTAGTTTATAGGTCTATGAGGTTTTTTATCATCTGTTCAGTTATTTTTTCTCCAAGCTGAATGAAAATAAATCGTCTGGAGTGTGTTATTGCGTGATATCGATGTACAACGTGGATTATAATTAACAACAATATTTTCTCCACTTCATCCTTCATTAGACTAATTTTTATCATTAAATTCTTATGGTTTTTCTTTTTTGCAAATTAGTCACGGCTGGACTCTCGGAAAATTGAAACCGTCAGAATGTAGTACACGTGGTATCCAACGTTTACTTTGGGATTAAAATAAAGTGAGAAGACATTCAACGAACACGTCTCTTTTTTTGGCAAATTGACTCGGTTTATCTGGGGGCTAGAAATAAATTGCCCGATCGAATTGCCTCTGGAAATAATTTCTTCATTGTTCTCATGGCTTTATCATTTTACATACGTCTAAGTCTATACATGCATTATAGTTTGAGTATTTCTTTTAGCTTAACTATACAACGCCGTTCTTGTTCTCACGTGCGATTACATATTGAGATCACGAGCTGGAAACGTCGCCAATTGGCAACAAGTTTCGAAAAACCTTTATATTTTCATTCATAATTGATAAATTTAAATGAAAATTTATTATTCTGAGGGATATTTTTATCAATTCGTAGAGTCAACAGCTGACACTTTTACATCATCAGTATATTTCGTTATTTTTTGACTAGTTGGAATGCTTGAGAAGTTTTAATCGAAGGGTTAAAGCAAGATAAAATGCATCAATTCATCAGTTTGTTCCGCATTCAGATTAATCTTACGTCTACTTCAATATCAGTTAATTAATATATCTTCCTTATGAACTAATGACTAGAGTAGTGCACTCCCAGGTCCATTTTCAGGACGTTAAAACGATGAAAAAAAATAAAAACAACTGAAACTTAATAGATATTTTGTTCATTAAACCTAGATTTCACATATTATATTATTCGAGATTACTCTAATACTTTTTGAGACGCGAGCGTATACTTTATATAACAGATATATGGACGCAATACGCGACTCGTGCTTATCAATTAAACCTATCTTAATTATTCAAAATTTGCATTCATTAAAATGCAGATTTTACTAATTCACATCTTTGGTCTTAGCTGGGGTTCTCTTCAGAATCTCAGAACGTGACAATTTCTTGTCAAATAAAAACAAAAACATGAAAATGAAACTTACGCTCCTAGAATTGCGCACTCGTTTGTTACATATTAGTTATTCTAGATAAATTAAATGACTCGTTTTCACCAACACTCGTCCATAATTATCCTTAAACCAATCTTTATAATATTCTTCTGTATATTTTTTTAAACTACGACGTATATAATGCAACAATATATAATCTGTCACCTAAAATGACTAGATAACATTGCGATAGATCATCTGCAGGGCCCAAACAATAAGGATATGCACGATTTTACCTTAGCAATTCTACGTCAAAAGTAAATCCACATTTTCCAGTAATATCGTTCCATTAACAGGCTGAATTTTATCAAGCCCATATGTATAGCTAATCAATCAATAGCATGAGCTTTAATCCATAGAAATATTTCCCTCAATTGAGACACGTCAGCAAAATAATTTACTCGAAGCTAAACCAAATACAAAGCTGTGTATTGTCCTTCGTTAACAATTAATCCTCCTCAACTGCGTCTCGATAAGCCCCTCCACTTCGTCTACCCACAAAACTATGTGTTCTTTATTAGATATATATCATCTTACGATTCCTGCTGTTCGTTACAATTTAAATTCCATCGTGAAATCATTCACTTCCTTCTGTCTGAAAAAACCCTACGCATAAATTTAATCGTTATATCGGCTTGGATTAATTATCTGGTTATATCTGCTGTTGATTCTACTTATTTGCAAATCTACTCTGAGGAGTCCGAGTCCGATTCCGCTGGTGGTGGAGGTTCATGGGTTTCCTCGTGAACCTCTGGTGTTGCTTCTGGTATTTTCTTTGTTGCGGCTATGTAGGCACCTGGACCCTCACCCTGAGTGTGCTCGATACCAACCCTATTCATCAAAATTAATGGAATTAATAATTCGTTCCAATTATAGAATCAATTTCATAGGAAAGTGAGTCGTTTTCACTCAATTCCGACTTTTTGCTGGGTATCTCGAAATAGAGTAGAGATAGCAAAATTTCCATTCGTACCTTTTTTGTAGGGAAAAATGAGAGCTACAAAAAAGTTTCTAAGGAAAATTTCGCTATCTCCTTTAGATTTAGAGATATTCTCCAAAAACTGGAAATGGTTTTATCAATTTTATATACAGTTAAAAAACAGGGAAATTTAAAAGGAATTTCATTTTATTTGCAAGGGAAGAAGGAGGAATTCAAATTCGATAAATTTTCATGGAAAAATTCAGTTGCAATTGACAGTTTTCATTGGCATTTCGCTGTATTCGTGAATTTTCAATTACGAAATATCCTGAAAATTCACCTGTACTCATGACGCGATAAATTCCTCACGTATTTCTCCGGCGGATTGTCAGAGTCACTATTCTGAAGACTGACACTACGTGCAGTCGTATGGGAGACCTGAGTGGCTGGCATCGTAAATTCCACGTAACAATACTCAGCCAAATTGTCTGGTATCTGATCGTAAGACGTTAAAGCCATACGACAGACGAGTTGATGTGTCGTGTAAGCCCCCTGGCCTTCCTTGGGTAATCTTGGCATTCTCCAGACGATAGCACGATGCTGATGCTCATATTTCGCTTGTCCCGACGTCACCTCCATAAGTTGGGGCTCCATTGTGTCCACAGCCCCCAAGAATCTCTCGATTCCCTTGATCTTTCCGGTTCTCCTGTGGGCGGATTTCACGGAGCCATATCGGAAGTGTTTTTCAACCCTGAATAAGTAAATCCAACATTCGGGAATTGGAAAGCGAACCATCACGTCTTCGCAGGGAATTTGACCCAGTTTTCGGGAGGCAAAGCCCGGAACCAAGATGTCAGCTCTGAGCTCCACCTGGAAAATTGATTTCAAGAATTGAATTCATTCTAGATACTCAGCACAAACGAATAAGTTTCATAGAAAAAATCGAATTCGATAGGAAATTCTATTTAATTCCTTTGGAGAATTAGAAAATATTCAATAGAAACTATTTAATAGAAAAAATTAGAAGAATTTCATGTTTTATTCTCTGTAGAAATTCCTCGACATCATTTTTCTAAATTTTTTCCACTCATTTTTCTCAAATTTAAGACATTTGAGCCGGGGAATTTCTATAGAAAATATCTCAATGGAATAAGTTTCATAAAAAATTCCAATGCTATTGTTTTTTTCTCAACATTTCTATTGAAAAAAAGAATCGGCCCGAAACTGATAGAAATCCAATAGAATTGTCTAGCGAATTCGCTAGGTTTCCCCCATGAAATTTTTCTCGATTAGCTTCATTCAAAGTATGAGAAAGGTACCTTGTTACCGGTGACGCACATGACAGCCTTCAATTGCAACGGCAGTTCCCGATTTTTCGGCGGTCTCACTCGGAATCTCATTAACTCAATGTAACATGCATCAGGCGGCTTGAACCTTAGTGCAGATTGTTAGAGAGAACAGAAGCATAAATCGTCAGACCCCGTTAGTAGTTTTAACGAAATAATGAGAATTGTTCGAGCAGAAAGAGTCACCAAAAGTTTATCACCAATATCATTCGATTGAAGATACTCACTTTATGATTCTCGACTTCTCGTACTCGTCCTGCTGTACACACGAGTGGAACTCGATGTTTTCGAGACGAATCCACTCCTCAGTCACCACGGGGATGATGTCGTGCCTGCCAACGACTTCCTTCCCTTGCCGCCACATGTCGTTGATGCCGAGTTCGACGTCAGGCATACCTGGGTAATTCAAACATTGTAAACTTAATGAATCATTCCGGACGAGTACCAGGAAGCCAACATTTACCTGTTAAAAAGCCCAAGAAGAACAGTCGAACCCTAGCGATCTGCTTCTCCACATGTCCCTCGGCATTCTGCTCCACATAAACCTCATCAACAACATTAATCTGCACCTCCTCCATCTTATAAGTAAGCGCTCGATCTCTGTGCGCAGCTAGCCTGAAGAGTGCCTCCTCAATAGCACTGGAGAATGTCTTCATATCCTCATAATTCTGCGAGCCAAGTTTAAACAGCTGGCTTATCTGCGGTGCATGCTCAACCGGAAGCCCCAACTTTTTCAAATCACTGCCGAACTCCTTCACGCCCTGGTAGTCACCCTGAATAGCGTAAGCAGCAAATTGACTGAGTTTGTTTGTCAGTCTCTCTGCCTTTGTCACTTGTCCAGGTCGCACACCGGGGCGTTCCTTGTAGAAAATATACTGCAGCTTAACGGTGAATATCTTGCCGTATTGATCGAATTGTTGAGCAGCTATTTCCGATACTGAATAGCAAGTCAATAGAGGCAGTTCTGTGAATGGGTCTTTGTCGTCTTTGTTGTTGAAAAGCTGGAGGGTGGGGCTGTCGCCCTGGTATACCAGGCGGACGAAAACTTTCTTCCAGAATCGCTGGCCCGTGATCTTCTTCTTGTTGGGCTGTCTGAGTTGGAACTCCCAGCCGTCGCCAGTGTAGGTCACCCTTGGGAAGTCCTCCAGGGGTTGACTGACGTCCTCATCGAAGAGGGGGGTCGGCGGGGTTTCCTGGGAGTCTGTTCGTGTCATTTCCGCTGGCTGGGGCATTTCCGTTGGGATAACCGCTTCTTGCGCGAAGCCAGATTTATCGAAGGGATTGAATCTGGGAGATGAGTCGTTGTAGGCGGAGTTTATGGGGCTCTTCGGAGGGGGTGCCAGCACCGGAACTGGGCCTCCTTCGTGGCTTATGCCCAGATCACCTCCCTCTTTCGGCTTTATGAAGACACTGAAGTCGGGCGCCTCATCGGAGTCGCCGGAGTCTGTTCTTTTGAGCGCTTTCGGCTCTTGGGGAGGGGCTGTCATACTCAGGAAGGAATCGAAACCGTCGGACTCGCCGAAGCCTGTTACCGCGCTTTCTGATCCTGCCGCGGACGAATCTCCCCAGACTGAAAAGGATTGAGTGTCAATAGCATTCGGTTTCGTTCGGTTCTTTCAATGAAGTTACATTTGGGAGACTTACCGTCACTAGAGGTGTCCATAGCTGTCTGCCCACCGCTTCCTCCAAACGCATCGAAGAATGGATCGCCACTTGTTGCCTCAGGTTCAGCTGCTCTGTCGAACTTGCTGGCGAAGGCGTCGAAGGCGTCGCCCGTACTCTCAATCGCTCTAGTAGTAGCCGCGAAATTGTCAAGCTGTTCCTCCCCCGGGTAATTCGGAAACTCCGAAGCTGGTATTGGGCTTGTCGAAACCAATTCCCCAACGTCATCACTGGGTTTTGAAAAGTCCCCGAGGTAATCTGACGCGAATACATTCGTCTGAGGATCGACGACTGGTGCTTGCGCACTCTCAGTGCTGCTGGCTGTCGTGAAGAGAGGCTCTCCCCCGAATATTCCAGCTGGTGTGCTTGAGAACGGAGAGGACGACACTGCTGTCGGCTCCTCCGTCGTGAAGAAGTCTGAGTCCGCTGAAGCAGCGACGGCATCTGGAGCTGTTTCTGGTGTGTCAGGCGCGAAGTCGAAGCCTGGAGTTGTCGTTGGAGTTGTGACGTCTATCGAAGGCCTCTTCGCTTCAACGACTGACGCCTCCTCCGGGGTAGTGGCGTCAGCGATCGGTTCTACGACACCAAATGGATTCTCTTGACCTTGGTTGAAGGTATCCGTGACACTCGTCGAGAATATCGTGTCGGTACTAGATACAGAGTGGGTCACTGTGTCCATAGTCGTGACGGGTGCGGAGAACATCGAAGCACCTGTCTCCGCAGGTTGGGGTGCGTCAAACAGGTCCAGAATGTTCTGCGATTGCGATGTCTCTGGGTGAGTGGTGTCAGCTGGCAAGTCTGGTATGTTGGAGTCAACATCGAGGAGGTCTGCCACGCTGTGTTCGGGCGTCGGCGACGGGGAATGCATCAGAGTTGGACTGGGAGTCCGCGTGTATTGTAAACGGTCTAGCAGGTGATTTGAAGTCGCGTCCATGGCACCAGTTACAGATAAGATCAAGTCTTTGGTGTTCCTGGGGGGCGCTGGGGGTGGTCCGGGTCTCGGAGGTGGTGGAGGTCTTGCAGGAGCAGGTTTCGGTGGCGAGGTCTTCTCCTGTGGAGGACTGAAGGCCACGGGCTCTTGGGGCGGACTGAAGGCCACCGGCTCCGCTGGGAAGACTTCCGGCTCTTCGGTGCCGAAGAGACTCGTTGGCTTCTCCTCAACGCCGAATAAATCTGGCTGGTCGGGCGCAAACGCCTCCGGCTCAGAAGTGGGTGGAAGATACGGCTGTTGAGCATCTTGAGTCGGCTCGAAAAATGCGAAAGGATTTGTTGAATCTGTCGGTGGCTGATAAGCCGGTTCAGCTGAGAAGTTCAGGAACGGATTTTCCCCGGCTGATGGCGCTGGCTCGGCGAAATCTTGGAGGAATGGATTCGACTGCTGGGGAGCCTGCTCCGCTGGGTAGTCGTCCATCAAGAAAGGATTACCCCCCTTAGAATCCATGCTGAATATTTATAAAAACCCTTTTGAATAGTTAATTGAACGTCTTACGGACGTTATTTGTCCATCAACTCTGACTCGAGGAGTTTGAGCTCGGTTTTACCAGGCCCGATGGCTGCGAAACTCGTGTCGAAGGGGTCTATGTCCTCGTCCAATTCAGAATTCTGCTGTGGAGTGAGAACTTTATCCCCCGAGTTCTGATCCTCGATGGACAGAAAATCTGGCGCCTCTTTGACTTCACCAGCTCGTGGATCGAAGTCGTCCTCGTCGTCTAGAACGGGGGCAGGTGGGGCTGATACCTTGTTGAGGTCAATCTTATTGATCCTCACGGGGATAGGATGGGCTGACACCTGGCTCAATTCACTCTCGAGCAGTTTCAGCTCGGCTTTACCCGGTAAAATATTACTGGCTATCGACGTATCGAAGGGATCGACGTACGAGATTTCCTCCTCCTCCTCGATGACTTTGGCTTCTATCCTCGGGGTGAGGGGTTTCGCATCAACTGCCACCTCAGCATCCAAAAGACTCTCTTGTCGCTTTGACTCGAATTTCTTTCGCTTGTGAACTGCCTCGTTTACCTCAAACGCGTCCTTAGGCTCCTCGCTGTCCTCAATGAGTGGAAGATCACCTTCACCTAGTTTCAAGTTTTTGGGACGCAGTGACGTCGGTCCAAAGTCACTCTGACGTCTGCCTAATTCCGGTTCTGTTCTGGGATTAAAGTCGTGCTCGCTGATACTGTGAGTCAACTTTGGCTCTTCCTTCAGAAGTTCTGATTCAATGAGTTTCAGCTCAGTCTTGCCGGGAGTCACTTTCGACACGAAACTCGTGTCGAAGGGATCGACATTCGTCTCCTCCAAGTCCTCGTCCTCGGGAAGTGCGTCTTCCAGAGACTTTTGGGAGTAGTACGGTGTTAATGGCTTCGAAGTTATCGATTTCTCCTCGTCTCCGGTTATTAATAGATCTGGACGTTGAGAGGGTGTTGGGAGTTCAAAAGCAACGGCTTTAGTTGTCGCGAGACCCAGAGCCTCCGGGCGAGAGGGCTTCCTACCCAGAGGGGGCACAGCTGTGTCTTCCTCCTCTGCCTCAAACTGAACCTGGAATTTTGCGGATTCTGCTGGTGCTGGTGTCTCTCCCTCACGTGGATCGAAGTCGTCGTCGTGTAGAGTGTCAACTGGCTGACTGGTGTCGCCGAGGAGTTCTTTCTCCAGGAATTTGAGCTCGGCCTGTCCCGGTGGAAGCTCTTGAATGCCAGATGTGTCGAATGGATCTGTATATGTGATGTCCTCGACTGGTGCGATGGGTTCATCCACAAGCTGACTGAGGTCAGTTGTCGAACCCCCAAGAAGATCCTTCTTTGCAGAAAATGAAGTAGTGTTCTGCTGACTCGCTAGAAGACCCGTCTCATAATCCCTCTTGAGGCCGGCAGGATCAGTCAATGAAATGGAGACCTCGCTCTCCGGTAATTCCTCGAGCTCCTTCTCAATAAACTTCAACTCAGCTTTACCAGGTATCAAGTTCTCAGCGAAACCAGTGTCGAATGGATCGTCCTCGTCGACGAATGTCGCCGCTTCGAAGCTGACTTCGATTATCTCAGTCTCAGGTACAATGTGTTCGGGTTCCTTCTCGGCGAATGGATCATCTGCCTCTTCTAGTTGCACGGGCTCGTCACTCGGTCCGTTGAGATCGAAATCGTCGTCCAAATCTGGAATTTCCTCGAGAATTGTCTTCTCCTTCAACACCTCGAACTCGGAGATGTCTAGGGGAGCCTCTGCAAGCCTCTCGGCTTCAGCATTAACTTCTTGTGGACGTGGTAGATTAGTAACAGGTGGTAGATTAGTCAGATCAATGGGTACATCAGGAAGATCAGTGTCGTCGTCAAGCAGTGACTTCTCAACCTCAACCGGCTCTGGTGTTACATCGAGAGCATCGAAGTCGTCCTCATCCCCCAACAGAAGATCCTGTGCTTTAATTCTTCTCGGTCTTGATATCTTACACGTACTCACGTGGTCAACGCGTCCGGAAAGAACTTCAACCGCGTTTCCGAGACTCACTACCTTCTTTCCACGTTTGTCAACAGTCTTAAGGACTTTGTCAGCGTTTGTCGTGTCGAAGGGATCGTCACCAGCCTCTTCCTCAGTGGGCGATTCAGGGATGTAAGCTAGTTGAACGTCGATGTTCTGGAGGACGTCGATGTATGTTGTGTCGAAGATGTCTTCCTCCTCGGAATCCTCCTGTTCATCTTCGTCCTCAGGTACCTCGACAAAGCCCTCTTCTGTGACAGTCAACTCTTTCTTCTTCTTGCCCTCGTCAACCTCGTCCTGTTCGATCGGATTTCCGTCTTTGTCGAAACCAAGGTATCGTCTCTCTCGAGCCTTCTTGACTTCGGGGTCCTCCTCGGGCTTCTTCTCCTCAACAGGAGGAGCTACGCGCTGGAAAAATGAGGTGGATTTTATCCGATCTAGGTCACCTTGGGTCTTTTTCAAGATATCATCGACACCAGCTGTCAGTGCCTGGAATTTCTTCCACTCGTCAGAGCCAGCTGCACCTCCCTGTTCACCAGTTGACTCTTGTGCTGCTTTCTCAAGGGCCTCTGCCCGTTCGCGCCGATAACGCTCAAGCTCCTCTGGATCAAACTCGTCCTCCTCAGCTCCCTTCTTTCCCTTCTTCGACTTTTTCTTCTTCTTGAGACCCTTGGCTAGCTTGTGCATCCTCTAAAACCTAGCGCAGTGGGGGGGAGGCCTCTGCAATTAAAAGGATTCATTAGTCCTGGAGACTCTTTTGGATTGGGCTCATCTAGGTGAGTGGAAGCACAAACAGGCCCGCATTCGACGTCAACGTGACGCGGGAATAATTAATTTAAATTAAAACCTTCGGCTTAATGCGGGGGGTTATTCCATTCTAATGTGGAAATTCCTGGTGGATCATATTTTATATGGGACGCGTGCGGGAGGCATCAATCAATAGCTGGGACAACAAGCAATGCACATGTTCTATAAATACTGGTTTAAATCAAGGAGATTGGGAACAATGGGGTGAGCATGAGGTGGGATAATATTGCTATATAGTGGTGAAAATTTTTGACGGGAAATTTCGGTACATTGAAAAAACTGGGATCTGGAAATTTTAGGTCAATTAGTTCTTAGAAAGTGATAAATATCGGGGAAGTTCTTCATCTCTTGAATTCTCAATTGATTTTGAGGTATTTCGTCCTTGAAAATTCAAAATTTTATAGCAGAATCAATGGGAACTGTAAATTTCAGTTCAATTATTCCCTGAAAATTAACAAAAATAAGAAAAACTCAGATAGAAATATTCCTAAATTTTCAATTTATTAATTTGGCACTGAAAATTCATATTTGATTAAAAATTCAAGTAAATTATGAAATCCTAATATTCTTGTCGCTCAAAAATTAACAATTTCACTGAGTTTCCAGTTAAATCTAAAATTTCACGATTTTTCCCCCGAATTCAAATGCAATGTAATTTTCCGGAATAAAAATTACTAGTCATCATAAAATTTCAATTTTTTTTCAGCAGTATATTTTTTCTATCTCTCAAGTGCCACCAATTATCTCCCTAATTAATTACATTCAACCCCTATCCCAAAAAAATTTTCACGTTTCCACAGTTTACCATGTTATGAATACACCGGGAATTAATTTTTGCAAAGTCAGATAAGCGGTTATCAAATGTTGGGGGATCAGATACAAAGGGTATGACAAGCTTATCCGTAAAGTAAGAACCCGGCCAAAGTCGTTGGACATAGTGATCGATACCGCAACTACTGAAGTGGAAACAGGACGAGTGAGTAAGACAAATTTTTCCTTCTACTTCTATTTTTTTCCATTACCCGCGGGGTGGATCACAATCAACAGTTTAAGGGGATGAGAATGCAGCCGTTCTGCACCGCCCAAGCGATGAATCAAATCAAGAGTGCCGGGACGGAAGAAATCAATGCATGCTCAGAGATTCACTAATGAATTACTATGGGACAGGTGAATGCACTTTGTCACAGTGACGATGACAATCGAAATTGACCCACTTCGTCATTCGGTGAATCGTCAAACATGCTGTTTCGAGATTATCGATTTTAGTTGAGAGTCGAACCGCCGGTGGGACCAAAGGGAAAATGTCGAGAGTAGGAAATAGGGAGTGAAGGCGTGGGGGGTGGTCTGGGGGAGTTGAGAGCCGGCTTTCGAATTTCCTGATCAATCGAACCCGGACAAAAAATAATTTCCCATGCGCCGGCGAGGATCATTGCTTCTGGCACCCAGAGGTTCAGATATTTTTTGATTATGCGGCTACTGCGAACTTGGCAATTGTCCCGTGAATGAAGAAACCCGCAGTCTTCACAGTCAAGGCCACAGTCTAGTCTTTACACCCGACGAGAACTAAGTGGACTAGAAAATTTAGCGTTTGCACTGTGATGGGTTTAATGAAAAACATAATAATCGACCCTTCCTGTGACATTTGACTGATGCAACCGGGTAACTGAGGGTGGGTGGGCAGTCTACCCTCGGCCAGGCAAGGTCCCCCTCATTCTCCTCTCGAAAGAACCCAGTGGGTGTTAATGTACTTACGAATCAAGCCTCATGAGCCCCATTTGTACGTTGCACATTGTCTTAGCTTCATCATTCCGTTACTAGCACCATGAGAGGTGGATGATTCAGTCCAACGAGATTATTTCAACGTTAATGGTACAGATAAGGGGGTGAGAACGGGAATAATTTTGAGGTCGGGGTGGTGGCGCACGTTTTGTTGCGCGTGTGTTACACAATTCAATATATTTTACAAGTTCACTTATTTAAATTTGTGAGTTTTAGCCGTGGAAGGATTGGTAATGGTTTCTTTAAAAAATATATCGGACCTTTTTTTTGTATTCCACTGAACGAAGAGAGCCGAGGAGGCTCTAGCACTTGGCGAAGGCGACTCACCTCGTACTCGGGGGGGCCTGAGCTATTTCCAGCATCGATCTGCCCGTTCAGAATGCGCGCACACCCTCCCCTCTGGATGGTGGGCAAATGAGGGGATTCGGTTTCTCATGTGCGACTGCTCCACGTCGATGTCCAACCATTGGACAACCCCATGATATTTGAATAAATTCTCAATGTCTGTTGTTGACGGAATTGTCCGTCTGATTATGTTTTCGCGAGGAAGATTCCGATCGATGTGACTTGATGGGTGATTCATTTAAGCTCTCGGCGTAATCTGCTTTGGGATCTATTAATAACTCGGGGAATCGCCGATTCGAAAAACCCGCTCCTGTCTGATGCTGATATTTCGGGGATTCAATTTTTAATTGGTCATTTTTTCGATTTTCCTGGGATGATTGAAGGTTTTTGAGGAGTTTTTGGGACCAGTGGGGTCTCGGAAAATCCACATGGGGGTTTTTAAGTGGTAAATGGATTTTTTATCTCGTCAACACATGAGCAAGTGCTATTTTTTAATCCAATAGCGCAAGCGCAATTGACTTAGTAATCAAACCCACGCGGTTTCTGCACACCTGCACGGATGTCTGATACTGGCGCCGTCTATCTACTTACGATTTCCTTCTGTCGATAATAACAAAATTCCAGAAGCTCTAGTGATAATCGTAAATTTTCTTTTGAGGTTTTTATTAAAGAAAAGAAATCTCCCAATGAGCGATAGTACTCATTAAATAGTTACAATAATTTATAGGACTGGAAGGTTATAAATAATTGTTTATAGTATGATATTCTCTTTTCGACCTTCACCCGTGACTTTCGAACATCATAAGTTTTTTGTTTGATCTATTTATCAATGAAGAAATTCAATAGAAAAACGTAAGTCATGTCCTAGAAATTTCCATTAGAATTTCATTAGAAACTCGATTCCTCGTGCGAATTTCTATTGAAAAAGTTGCAGTTTTCTTTTTTTAGAATTTCCAGAAAATCTAGCAAAACTTTCAAGTATTTCTACAAAATTCTCTCACACATTTTTCAATATTCTGAACTATTTCCTAATACATTTGACTGGCAATATCATTAATTGAATTGCATTCTCAGTATCTCAGTGGCTTATCATAAAAATTGCACTTGAGTTTTGATCATTTGTTAGCCATTCTATCAAGGTACATCGAAGATACCATCATTGGTCTCAAGATAATCTGACCACTGATGTGAATGAAAATATATAAAGGAGAAGTGAGGAAAAATGAGCCCATATCACTTTGTTGCGAACAGAATAATTTTTTCTTCGCTTTAATAAATTGATAAATTTGTTTTTAAATGACGAATAGTTTCCGAAATGTCAGAAATGTCCATTCTGCCCCACCCTCCCTTCAACTTAATCCTAATAAGTACACTTGACATATCCAATTGGCCCTAGTTAAACCTAAAACAATCTCCCTCGTAATTAACAACGAAAATAATAATTTTGCACGTGACGTGATGACTCAGCAACCAATGTAATACTGTAAATTATCCTCAAAAGACTGCCATCCTGTAGCACCATCGAGTATAAATCAAATATGAATTAAAACGTGTTCTCAATCTCGTGCCCAATGTCGGTGGACTCTCGCTTAGCAGCAATGAGGTTCTCCCATTGGGCTATCAGGGTACTTCGACGTCTGGGATTCGGCTGAAATTCATCAATTAGTCATCATAAATTATTTCACGGGTATAATGTATTTTTGGGAGTGATGAAATCACCTTGTGTTTGCCTTTGTACTCCTTCTCGGACTCGTCGTCAGTCAATGTATTCGATGAGGTACCACTTCTCAGAAGACTCGAGCCATCGTATATGTCGGAGTCATTGTCATTCCCAATGTCGAGTAAATTTGGTTGGGATTTCGCCAGCATTCGTGACCTCATTAGTCTTCAACACATGAATTTATCAGTTGTTGTTAAGAAATTATACATTTCGATTTTTTTTTCATTAAATATGAAATCTTTTCGTTAAAGAGGAATTTTTGGAAGAAATTTTTAATGATTTTTTCACCAAAGAATGAAATGGAGGATAAAACAAAGTCTTGTGTGATTTTTTCCAATTTTTAAGGTATTTTTTAAAGATGCAATAAACATCAATTTAGATTCAACATTTTTATCAATTTTGCGTTTATGAAAAAAGGTGAAAAGATTTTTTCTTTATGAGGAATTAAATTTTCAGCTAAAAGTGCCTATTGACATTTTTCCCTAAAATCGTGAAGAAAACGTAAAAAAATTATGAAACCTTCAACGTTCAATCAAAACATGATTATCCCGTACCAAATTATGCTAAATTTTCAATTAATTGAATATATTTACTTCAATTTTCTTTATTTCTATTGATTTTCATGAAATAATTGACCTACAATTCAGAGTTCTCATTGATTTTTGCATAAAAATTTGAATTTTCCGTGACAAAATTCTTTGGAATGTCAATTAAACTCCGTAATGAAAAATTTTCAAGCGTAGATGCATTTATTAATTTCATATTTACCCACAACAAATGAATTTATCAAAAAATGTCACCTGGTCATGAAGAATTAAATGTCCCGTCATCGAGATAAATGTCCCTTCATAAAAATAATTTCCCCTCAATCCCGATAATCACCTCAGTTCATTCTCTCGCTCCTTCATCTCATTGAGCTCCTTCTGGATTTTCTGCTCTACCGGTACATATCCCTTCCTCGTAGGTGGCTTCTTAGGCTCATCATCCTTCTCACTGTCATCGAATCCGTTACTATTGCTACCGAGACTCCTCCCGAGTGCCTTGATGCTCAGTGGATTCAAAACTATGGTGGGCGTAGTCGGAGGCGTTGGATAATCCGCATTAACTCCATTCGTCTTGTTTATTTTTCCACGTGTAGCCAGGAATCTGTGCATGAGGCCCTTCTGACTCGGCGCTGTAGCAAAACGCAAGGGTTGCGCCGTTGTTCTCGTTGATATCACACCGTTCGTCATCTTTGGTGCGAGGTTTGGCGCGTGTGGAGTGAGTGGAGATGGCTCCAGTATCTGGGGTGTTGACGTTGTCCTCTTCAACTTTCCCGATATGAGGGCCTGGGGCATGCGACGTACCTGAACAAAATTAAAACTTTCACTGAAACATTCGTTGACGGTTATTTCTTCCATGAAAGTCATCATCTCATTACGAAATTCAGTAATCAACTGGGAAAACGGATTGAGTTGTTTTCACTTGGATTATTATCTTATTTTCGGGGGATGTGTAGTCATTTAAAGAAGATATGGAAATTTTCAAAAGACAAGAAGTGGTCTACGAATTTTTTCACCTTTCAATTTAGAGATGTTCATCAAAAACTCATTATGAAGATGAGTTGGTTTATCTTGTTCTAACACTTCGCTACAGAATTTAATCGTCTAATTAAAAATTGACCTTATGTGCACACTAGATCCTTATGCGCACAAGACCTTTCTCCCAGAATTCATTGAAATTAATTCATCATCCTAGATTAAATATGGAATTCAGTATTGAAGTGGAAAAACGAGAAGAGTCAATTCCCCGCAAATTAGTTGAATGTTTGTTGCAATCGTGAAGTTGAGTTAATTTATCTGTTCTACTCCTTCGTTGCAAAATTAAATAATCAAAGATCGAATTTAAAATTAACATTCATATTAGATCGCGAACGATCCAACTGGATTCAACTTCGCTTTCACTGGGCAATTTATTGAAATTAATTCATCACCTCGACTAGACCATTAAATCCAGTAATTAAGTGATGAGTTTCGACGTAAAATTCTCTCGTTTTATTAAAAAATGGAATATTCGGAGGTCAAATAATCTATTTTGGATTTTTCCTCAAAACGTAGAATTTTCAAATTCTTTTTGTCAGTTCTTCGAAGTGTTTTCTAACGGTTCAGTATGGAGATTTCGAATCTAGCCCTCGGAAGATTGACTCATAGAATAATTCTAGACTATTCGGTGACCTACAGATGAATTATGCCTAGTGGAAGCTTTGATTCAAAGATATTCGTAAAAACCCACTGGAGTTGATTAATTCCCGCAACAACTTTACTAAAGAATTCAATTGTTTAATATTTAACGTAAACACTCGTCATTCCATCCACTCTTGATTACAATCCCCCGAAATTCCGAGGTTACACGAAGGTCACAGAATAAAGACACGAGGAATTTTTTCACCTCCAAACGAAAGCATTTTCGGTACGTGACAACGATACAATGCGTACATGGAAGTACGTGGGAAGAATTTTCATGTGGAGAACGCGTCTGTAAACAGCTCAGCGAGTGCTCTGGTGTGTTATTACGTTGTCTAGTCGGTGATTGCATCGAGATCTTAGTCATCCACCCATGACGACCAGCATCATCATCAGAAATTCTCAAAAAACCGAGAAGTTCCCACACAGAAAAAAAATTCTTGTTGAATTCACTACTAAAATCTATCTTTGTGACTATCCTCGAATTTTTACTAGAACTTCAATGAAAAATGCGATTATTTTAGAGGAAAATGAAATATTTTTATGGAATTTTCACGTTAAATTGAAATGACCTCAAATTTTATCATTAGTATTTTTCATTCTTAAAAATTACCACATCATGATGGAATTTGGAGCATTAAAATTATAATTTTTTGAGAGTTCTGTTGTTCTAGAATTAGTTTCGAAAAAAAATTCAACACCCGTAAAAATTTCAATATTAAAGCTACCAATTTCATAAAAATATTGTAATTTTTACTGAACTCAACGCATTATTCACAAGAATTATAGTAAAAAAAAATATCGCATAGATATTTAAAAATCAAAGTCCCTCAATCACATTCACTCAACTCTAGCGAACCAAATCTACTCGCTTTATTAACTTCTCCATCACCCAATTCTATTCACCACTATTTGCCCTGAAAACTCCACTCAAGTGTGAAGTGTCAATATCTCCCAGAGCCTAGACAATTGCCCCACAGTTCCCCAGCCGCAATTCCCTCAATTGAGTCCCAACAACAGGTGTTATTACCAAACCAGACGCCGGTATTTCATACAAAACCCACCTCAATTCCTTCTCATTCAGCGCGAGAAAGAAAAATTATTGCAAAAATGAGTGATGAATGGAGCGAAACTTCTCAATATTTGGCAAGCATCCGCTGGGAATGAAATTCAACGTCAAATCGGAGGGGGAATTTATTGTACTTTTGAGGAAAAAAATTTGTAACAGTTACCTTGGAGTCTACTGTCTCGTCTGATGTTGTCTTTATACTGCCGACGTTTCGCAGTTCGTGCTCTCGCTCAGTGACCTCCTCGATTTCCCGCTGAATCCTGTCAGTCGCACGTTTCAACTGCTCCCTTCTATGATCAGCCTGGGAAAACGCAATTTTTCTATCTTTCACGCTTCTATTTTTTTCCTCGTCTGATGAATCAAGCGCGTCATGAGGGATTTGTTACGACTGCTCAACACATTAGTTCACTTTATGGAGTATCATTTGTATGTGGAGATGATTGAGGACTGGATGGATAGCTAATCCGATGGTACGTGGGCTACTGAACCTCGGGGAATGCCAAACCGAGTCGACTGGAGTGCGCACCGAGACTAACTGTATAACCCGGTGCTGCCAGTTTCCTTTCTAAAGTTTAAAAAAGGCCCCAAATGGAAGAGGAGACGAGGGACAAAAAATGGGCCAGTCTGTTTATGACAGTTTGGGCGACAGAGGGGGAAGCGGCGGGAGATGTTACAGATCGGTTTTTTTTGCCAGAGAGAAAGTCGAATCGATGGCGATCGAAAATGAAAAGGGGTTTCCTTTTTGCCAGTTATTTATGCACAATTTCACTCGACGAGGGATTATCAACGATGATATGATTAAGGAATCGGGGGGTAATGAAGTGGAGAATAATTATGAGAGAAATCTTACATTTTTTGGTGATTGATTGAATTATTTTGGGGAGGAGGTTTCGGAGAAATGCCAGGGGTTTTCTGTGGGGAATTGTATTTTTTAGGGGAAGTTTCTTTTGATTTTTTTTGTAAAGTCATTCATTAGGAAGACTTTGACTTTTGACAAAGAGTGAAAGGAGTAGAAATTAAGGATATTCTAGTATCTTTTATAGATTCAACCTTTTTCAATCATCAAATTTGTCAATTAAGTTGCGTGAGAAAAATTTGCACAGAATTATTATTTTGTTGTTTCAACTTTTGGAAATCGATTTCGACTAAAATTTTGAATATTAATAAATTCGTCATGATTTCGAATAAATGATTTTTGTGGTAGAAAATTGATTGTTTATAAATTATTTACAGAAATTCTCTTAATTTAAAAAAATTGCAATTTTCAAATTATTTTATCAATTTTCCTCCAAAAGTAAACTTTCTAATTTTTTCAGATTTTAAAAATATTTTCTAACGGTTCAATTTCGAGATATTCATATGCAAGCTCTGATGTGCGACTACAAAAGTAGCAAAGCATTTCACTGCAGAAAAAATAACTAAAGTACTGGGATATCCTTGATTAGAAATATTTTCTGTTCTTGCATTTATCTGAAAAACTAAAAATGGAAATGAAAATATCTTTGGACATTCTCCTATGAACTCCCTCATTACGAAGACATTAAGACACTTAATCAACGATCGAAAATAGTGAAGTTAACTGGACAGTTTTTAAAATTTCGCAATTTACCTGAAAAAAATTCCAGGTCAATTTCCAGCAGAAAAATATTGTTCTAATCCAATTAAATTTCCAAAAAAAACTCACGTGACATTTCACCTCTTAAAAATGCCATAATAGTAGCCATCATAGTAGTCATAAATCAAATGCAAAACTTTTTAATGGGTAATTTGTCTCAGAAACTACTAACTCCAGCGCAAAATGTCAAAAGGCATTTTCCCCAGCTATCAAAATTCTCTGCAAAAAATTCCGCTCAGTATTTCCCCCTCACATCCCCCTTACCATCGAGATAACTCTCCTTTCAACAACCCATAAAACCCCTTATCTCGTTTTATTCCTCGCTCTTCTCCTGTTTTCCAACAATTTTACACAGTTCCTGTCTCGAGTCACCCGACGGTTGGTAGCTCGCGGTAATTCCCCGACACGCATTGTGAACCCGTGAGGTGATGCTCCGAGACCGAGTGAAAAAAAACGAGGGGGAAATAAAAACGCATCAATTTGAATAGCCGTTCGACTGGTCAATTTTCATCGTCACATTCCCAGTTAGTTCATCGAACCAGTTGTTCTGATGCTGAACCCCTCGAAGAGGGATAAATACCGAGACATTGGCGATCAAGGTCGGGTCAGGGGGCCGAGAGTTCAGGAGCATTCGCCAAAGGCCCTCCAGCATTGGAAAGTTCTTGAGAATTTCGATTAAATCCGTCAATTCCATATTAAAATTAATGGAAAAACTAAGCGAATTCTAGAAAATTTTATTGGAATTCTATCGAACTTTTTATCAGTTATCGGTCGATTCCATTGGAGAATTCCGCAGATTATCTGCGCGTTTTTTTCAACGGAAAATATTCTCTAAAAAAGAAAGGAAAATTGATTTTTTTATACAATTAATTCTATCGAGATATTTTCTGTAAAAATATTCCAGGTTTTTTCGTTTGATTTTTAAAACTAGAAAATTCATGTCAAGGAATTCCTATTGAAAATGTCTCAATAAAAAAAACTGAATAGAAACATTGAATTCTACTGTATTTCCATTGCAAACATTTCATTAAAAAACGCAGTAAAGTTGCGGAATGATCAAAATAAATTTGATAGAATTCCAATACAAATTTCTGCGTGTCAGGACAATTTCTGAAGCCAAACACGGGACCACTGGACTCCCCTGAATATTTATAAACACGATTGATTATAATAGCACTTCCAGTCCTCATTGAATTCCCATCTACATTATAATCACCGATAATTTCAACTCCTCTTCATTGACAATTCTTCAATTTGCTGTCAGTAAATTCCGGGAAAAACTATGATTATTGCGAATTAAACTCACCTCCATCTTCATATTTGCGGTCGCTTTGAGTTAATCCCCTCGATAATTGTAAAACAGAAAACGTATTATCAGGAAGTCGGCTTGATACTGAGTGCGCCAGATAGTACAAGTTACTTTTATTTTCCCTCGTTTTTTATCTGATGGCATAAGCGACGAGAGCCAGCTAAACGCTCGTTTATCATGACACTTATTACGTCACACTGATACATAGAACTTCACCTTCGTTACCTGCGTATAGAAATTTAATGTGATAGGATGGAGCGAGTGGCGCGATGACTCTCGGTAAAATTAATTTGACTGATTTTCTTTCGAATTGAGTAATTTCCCATCGGCCAGCGATCGTTAATTCATAGCCACCAACCACTGACTCCAAGAGTATTATCCAGGATCTCACTGCACTTTATTGACTCTAAAATGCCCACTTAAACCACAAATAACAATGGAAAATTGTGGAAAAACTCTGGGGAGGCAACCGGTAAAGTGAGTTCGGCTCTTCATGTGCACAGTCAAGTATACACTGCCATTTTACCTGGCGTGACCTTGTTCACTTTAAAACCGTTCTCCAAACAAAAGCAATGAGACCTCATCGCACGGGTGCTCTCGTAGTTTGCCGTTTCTGCTCGCTTTTCGCACGCACCCGAGGGGATAAAACCGACTGAGGGGCTTTTGACCTCTCGTTGCGGATTTTTAAGTGGTTGAGGATGAGATTTTGTGGGTTGCCGTAGCAATAAATTATTGATTATGTATTAGTGATTTATGATCCAGTGATAACGATTCCACGGGAATTGTGAAGTGGGAACTGTTGGAATTGCTAAGAACAAATGATTCGTGTGAAGTTTTAATGGATTTCTTATCTGAAAAATACATTAGATGCAGGAAATTTAAATCGATTTTTATGGGAGATGGGAATTAATTTTTTATTTCATTGTTGTGAATTTGCAACATAAGTATTCCTACTTCGTAAATAATTTGGTAATAAATTGAGTACAATGTATTCCACCTGAAGCATTCCGTGAAAATTCGTCAAATATTTTACAATCCATTCCGAAGGAATTCCAAAGGATTGGAAAATTAAATTTTTTTTTTTTTAAATTCAGGAATTACAATGAATTTCACGGAAGCTTTGAAATTTTTCAGGGACTTTTGACCCCTTGCTGCGGTTTTTGAAGTGGTTTGAGTGGTTGTAACGATAAATTGATGATAACGATTTCACGAAAATTTTGAAGTGGAAACAGTTGGAAATGATACGAAAAAATGATTTATATTAAATCACACATGAAAATGCAATTTGGATTTTTAATTTATTTCAGGGAATTTGAAACATGAATGAAGAGATGTTGAATAATTTTGTACTGAGCAAATTAAAATAGAAATATTCATTAAGAATTAAATTTCCAAAAATTTGTGATCATATACTTCGTCCGAAATTCAAATGAAGAATTCTTCATTATAAAGACTAAATAATATCTAATTCAAATGTGTTTTTGTCCTGAAAAATCAATCAGTTGCATAAAAATTTGAATTAATTTGAATTGAAAAGACATCATTATAACTCCGGAATTTTTGAAACACAAAACAAGATGAATTTTCTTGAATTTTCCACATGAATCAAAAACTTCTCACTGGTTCAATCTCAAATTTATTTCCATTCTCCTTTCACTCATCAATTTTTCATCAGTTATCGACATAAAAGAATACGTGTCCAGCATTTTCCCTTCAATTTTTATATCCGGCAATAAAAAATCAATTCGAAACCCCAATCGCTCAAATGACATGAATTTTAATTCTGTTCATTCCGTTTCGTAATCGATAATAAAAAGGAATCACAGCGAGTTGCGATATTACTGTAATTCAACATCGTAAATTTATTATACACCAGTGGAATCATTAAATTTCTCCTATTGAGGAAATGTCTCTTTACGCTGGGTACTACCCGTTTTTTCATAAATTATCGCGACGGGGAGGGGGAAGCGGAGGTCTCCGAGACTTCGCATTGGATCCGAAAAATCGCGGATAATTTGAACGCATGGCGGCACCCGCTGCCGTTCTTTGAGGTTAGGTGATGAAGCGTAATGTTTACGATTGCTCCGAAATAACGTGATTTCATGGAGTTTCGACATAACGAACTCGTTACGCGAAGTATTGTGCGAATTATCGGGACATAAAATACATGGAGCATAGTGATCAACGATTGAGGACAGCAGGAACATGATGGAACACTTTTCGCCGGTTGTCAGTGAGTTTCTTCAGTCGTTGATTTATTTTTATTTTAGATTGGGGGGTTATTGATGATTTTTATGATTGATGAAGCTTCACCGAAGACCTCCCCTCATCAGAATCTGACCGGAGCGAAGAGAATAGTCAAGGATTTGGCAGCAACTATACATTCCAGCATTCAACAATGGAATAACACTCATATTCATGGGGTTGAGGTGTTGAACGCTATAACTGCCATGAAAGGCGATGAATCTTTTCCGGAGGGTCTTCAAGAGTTGTGTGATACCTTGGAGAAAGATGTTGATGAATTGGTAAAGGAAATTGAGAGTGTGAATGGACAAACAGAAAATGTAAAGAGTCGATTTTTTTCATCTTTGTTATTTGTGGATTTATCTCGGGAACTAGTGGTTCGAGAGAAAAATGTCATAAAATATTTCTTGTAGAAAATTAAATTTCCTACAAAAAATATTCGGTGACATTTTTTCCTAGATCCACTCGTTACCAAGATAATCCAAGATTTGATGAAATGTAAAGAAGTCAATTTTTTAAAAATGAAATCGAAGAACATTTTGTTAACACGAAATTATCTCGAAAACTTGAATTTGTTGGTGAAAATTTCAAAGGACCTTTTTTCTGGAGAATTAAATTTCCAACAGAAAATTTCGTGTGACATTTCCTCATAAAATCACTCATTATTAAGATAATGCAGTCTTTGAAAAACGGAAAAAATTGCTTCATTCTTTTACGTTTTACAAACTTCACTCCTGCCGCCATCAATTCCCTCCAATAAAAAAAATGACTTACAGGATCAAATTGTGTCGAATCTAAAACTTTCTCTGCACCAAATGACCGCAGGAGTATCTCTCCACCGAGGCCCAGACAAATTATTCAAAACCTGGCCCAACGAACGGTTCGGTAAGCCTGAGGAAATCACTTCCTTTGAAATTCTCCAGTTGAACCGTCGTATTTAACTGCTGAATAAAAAATTCTGCACTCATTCAATCTCCTAAAATCCCCCAGTGGAAATCGCTCAATTGATCTACGACGCCTACAAGGACGAGGCAGATCTCAAGAGGAAAATCCTGGAAAATGTTGCTCACGACTCTCGAGACTCCTGGAAAATGCTTCACCTTGCTGCTTGGGTGCACCAGCCAATGATACCCCACGATCTAAACGTGAGTCTCGAGTCATTACTCACTGAGACTGGACACAGGTGAACAAAGTGCCTCGTGAAAAAAAAAAAAGTGGAACATTACTTTATTCTCATAATTTGTTTGCACATTTATGTAACCCTATAGCATAATTTTATATCAGAGTACATGTACAATCTCTCGTACTGATTTCCTCAGCCATTTGAGCGTTTATTTTTCTTTTAGATTATCATATAATTGTAATCAGACGTACAGGAAATGTCAATTCTCTATGGATGGAATATTTCACGTATCAAAATAATTCTATAAACCTTATTGACTCTCGATAACACTATTATCCAACGAGAATTTCACACAACAATATCTCTAAGTTTTTTTTTAACCTGAAAACATTAAATGCAATTTTTTGCTTATAGAATGTTGGTTTTAATTGCCTCTTGATTCACCTATATCCTAAATTAATATTTATTGTAGTTCATGTTCAGCCACTCACTGATAGTGTTTCTGACTTAATGACGTTGCATTAATCTCTCTAGCTTCATTAAAACAGCAGAGAAATGAGTAAACGTAACACTTTCTTTCCTCCTTTCCATAATTTTCTATTGACCTCAGGAATTGAATTGCCAGCAAGAAATTTCTGCTGACGTTTTTCCTTGAAACGATTCCTTGTCGACATAGTTTCATATTCAATTAGAAAAAATTCTGTTACAGTGTTTCATCATTTCTCTTCTGAAATACATACGAATTATTAAGTATTCCTCCCAAAATCTGTACATTTATTTACAGAAACTCCCTCCCCTCACACCAATTACCACCAATTAAGTAATTTATCCATCTCTTTTTCAAGTAAAAACCAATGAACCGAAAAAAAAATAAACTACGAGATCGAAACCAAAAAAAACGTATGAGGTTGTACTCAACCCGTCAGCACACTGCGAAGACTAGTTTTAACTGTTCCACCGAGCCATTTTTCGCGGAGAAAAGTGTATTAAAAAAAAGGAAGTCAAGCTTCCTTAAAAATAAACGTATCACTCTTAAAAATTACCATTGATGAAGACCCCAAGGGTCTTTGTACAATGCTCAAAAGTAAAACGTACTCAAAAGTACCAAAACAAAAATCCTCATCGCTCTGACCAACTGCTAAAGTTATTTATCATTACATCCATCTGCTCTTGTGCTATCCCTTAATCAATATTGATTTGGTATCACTGAATAATCATCATCTCCAACGAGTTTGCGAGCTCAATAAAAAATCCATTAAATCAACTTCTCGTATTTCTGTTGAACTCCTCACTGAGTGCCTCGAAATCAAGTTCAGTGTCTAAATTCGTAGTATTTGGCATCAAATTATTCTCCAAAATATTGTCTGGTATGATATTCTTCAGTCGTTCAGAGACCAACTCGTCCACCAAGTTGGATTGATCCACCAGATGCAACTGCTCAACTAATTTCTCATCCATCATCAGGTGTTTATCCATAACTGCGTAATCCAAGTGTCCAATGGGGTCTAGATTATCAGAGCCCCCAAAAATGCTGGCATCACAATTTGCATTAATAATGGGAACGGTGTCTTGGAGGATCGGCAGACCCTCGGGAATTTTGCAATTGGACTTTACCCCATTCAGCGCCTCAGGCTTCTCACAAATAATCTTCTGGAAGCCACTCCCCAAGCTCTGGCTGCCATCTAAGCCATGAAAACCATTCTCCAATTTACCCAAATGCTTCTCTCCATCATAAGTACTGACAGTGCTCTCGAGTTTGATGAAATTCTGAGGTATGGGCTCGAGTTTGATGAACCCCTGCCCTGCAGTCTCCACCTTCTGCTCAAAAAGATCAAGTCCATTTGTCCCCTCGATCTTCTTGAACGCCGGGCTCTTGGAGCCACTGAAATCCACCTTCTGGAACCCGAGATGTTCAGACACCTGTTTCTGTATCTGAGCACTGGAAATCAACAGCTTAGAGCCATTTTTAATCCCCTCTCCCACAGGACTGGAATTCCTTGGCATCAGGGTCAGGGCTGTGAGGACTTCAGGGCAGTTTGGATCCTGCTTTCGTTCAGCTAGAAAGTCTGAGACACTCAGGTCTGAACTTTCAGAGAATCCACTGGACAGTCTCTCCTCGATATTCTCCTTTCCCTCGTCGTTTCGCAGTTTCTGAAGCTTCAGGGGGGGCTCTTCAGGGACTGTCGCGTCGTGATAGGGCTCTGGCTTCTTGAAGACTTCCTCATTGACACTGTAGACCCCAGGGACCAGTCCCAGTGCGTCGCACAGGAGTTCATCCCTCAGTTCAATCAGATTAGACTCTTTCTCCTTATCGATGATTGGAGACAACATGACACCTGCCTGTTCTCGAATTTTCTCCATGAATACTTTCAACTCGTTCAGAAATATCTTGACATTGTTGTCTGATTTCACAGCCATGAGATCGTACAACGATTGAGCATTGAGAACTGGTTTTGCAGCTATTTTCGATATCTCTCCACTGTCGCAGACTGACAGAGCTTCTCTCAGCTTAGCCTGTCGTCTCTCTGATTTAGCCTCGGGGGTGACGTAAGCCCAGGGCCCCCTCTTCTTTCCCTTTCGCTTGAACGAGTCCACGCTCAGGGGTGCAGTCTTCTTCAGCTCATCAGAACATCCATTCGACGTTAATGTCGATGATGGCAGGAGCTCGATACTTCCGTGCTCTGGGAAGAGCTCGAAGTGCTTTGCCAGGCGTGCACGACCCAGGTACATCTTGTTGCAGGTTGCGCAACGAAAGTGGGTGGAGATCTTGCGCTTTGGAAGCTCCAGGCCTGTTAGCAATTCCTTGGTCTCCGCGCCTTCTAACGTGTTTATTGTGTTCGTGTTGTAGTCACTGTAGCCACCGTCTGAGTCGTCTAGGTCTGGCTGCATGAAGTCCACTGGGTGGAGGTGCTTGTAGTCACGCACCATGTGACGAGGTGGACGGGATAGGCGGCCTGATCTCGTACGGGCCACCACTTTTTTTCGATCCTCCTGGAAATATTGATGAGTCGTTTTTTGAAATTTATGGTGGCTTTGTC